TTATGTATGGATGAAAAATCAGTTGGTGGGCATAGAATTTTTCAGCTCATGAATTATAGGAGTTGAGGATTGAAGCTTATGAAAATCATAAAATATATAAAGAAAAAACTACAACCTTTCATGATAAATATATTAGTAGAAAAAATAAAATTGATGTTGGACAAAAAGTGTGATTTTATGATTCTAGACTAAAATTATTCTCAGAAAAATTAAAATCAAAATAGACAAGGCCTAATGTGGTGGAAGAGACATATGATATGGGGTTGTAATGATTAAAGATCCTAAAAGTGATCATCGCTTTAAGGTAAATGCTTAGCGGCTTAAACACTACATAGAACATGAACATTTTGCAAAAGAAGAAATTTTATTATTAAAAGAAATTTAAGAGTAAGATTAATACGTCTAACTAGAAACTTTAAATTCAGCATTGTATGGGAGGCAACCCATAGTTTTTATTTCATTCTGTTTGTTTTTTTAAGTTTTATTTTTCTTAGAATTTCATAGTATTTGTTTTTACATTTATTTATTTTTCAAAAAAGTGCAAGAGGAGTGTAAGATGAAGTAGAAATTAAAAATAAAGTTGAGGTGGTCTTTTTGAGCTTTATCTTTTATGATAACATTTTTAGTGCTTAACTTTGCATATATGCAGGTTTAAGTTTGAAAACTATATTTTCTGTATACTTTGTTTTGACTTTTTTGTATCATTGAGAACAATGTCATTTTTAAGTTGGGGGGTGAAGTATTAGGTCTTAATACATGTTATAGGACAATTAAGAACATATGTTTGTATTTGTTTTCATACTCACTTAGAAAAGCAACTAAAAAAAATCAAAAAAAATAACTTTTGTTTTCTATTTTCTATCATGAATAGTTAAAAATAATTTACAGACTATCAAAAACAACAAAGAAAAAAATAGTTCGAAATTTGAAATTCTAGCTATAAAGAAGATAGTTTTGATTTATTTTTGACAAATTTATTGTTGTTGAAACCAAAACTAAAAATAGAAAGTAAAACTTTCAAAACAATCTAATTTACAAACTTCTTACATTATATTACATACACAAAAAATTACATCAATTAGATTGATTGATACCAAAAAATACTAAGAAGATTATTATTGAGTTACAAGAATGATTTAGTAGCATGAAATGTTGGAATACTCATTGGATACATGATAGATAATATGGATTTGATTTTATAGATTTTCACTCTATGATCTTGATAGGTAGTATTTACTTAAGTGAAAATTTGATTAATCATGTTTGAGTTTAATAGAAATTTTTATAGCTTGACCTATAGGACTTGTGAGGAGAAATCACTTATTTCAGAATTTTAAAAAAAAATAGTAATGTGAAAAATCTAGAAATGAAGAGTACATATAGAGAGTGTGAGACATCATTCTCATTGTTAAAAATCATTCATAGAAAAACACATGCTGCAAAATAAATGGATAAAGTGAAAGCCCTAAAAATGAAGAGTACACATAGAGGGTGTGAGACATCATTCTTATTGTCAAATTTTATCTACAAAAAAAGTTACTTATCTATTATAAAAAAAGAATAGAAAAAATATAGTAAAAACTTTAAAAATTAAGTTATAGAAAAAAGAAAATGTAGGATTAATATTATTATGAGATGAATATTAATAGTTAGAACATCTTGTGAATTATATTCATGAGTGAAGAAGTGATAAAGATGTGAATAAAAGAAATGAAGTCTAGATTATTATTCTAAGGACTACTCAAACATTTAAGTGCTTGACATCATTCTTAAATACTTGATATAAGAGTTCAAAGTGTCTAGAGGTACATTATTTCTAATTGTATTTTTGTATATATATTAAAATATCATATTTTAAAATTTATGAATTATTATTTTCATAATTTCATTGCTAAAAGACTATCAATGATTTTAGTTGGGGGGTGTGATAAGTCTTCATTATCATGAGTTAATAATTAATAAATATTATACTTTTACTCTTAACTCATGATAAATAAAGTTATATTTATGTTAATTTGTGAAAAATAATATTTAGTCGGTTAATATGATTTTTTGGCTAATTATGTGATTTTATACGATTTTATATGATTTTTATAGTCCTATTTTTTAAATAAAGAAAGAAAAAAGTAGAAAATAAAAAAAGGGGGGGACCTGCTGGCTAATTAGGCCCACAAGTAGGTTGAAGCGTAGTTGGAGTGGAGCTGCAAGTAGGGGCTCAAGCAACTATAGACTAATAGGGGCACGTGTATGGTACTCTCCTTCCATGTCATCGATGGCTAGCCCCTTGTGGGGTAAGAAGTGGTCGTACATGTGAGAGAGAGGGACTCATTACTTGAAAATGTGATAGTAGTATATATTCGCTTAAAACTTCAATGTACAATTGATGTGAGTCTAAACTTACGTCACACCTTCCCCATAAAGGCTTCAAAGATTTTAATGTTTAAAATTATCTCTTAATTTTAATAGAGATATACTATGATGATGTCACTTTATAAAGGCATTATAGTACTTATTTTAATCTCTTTGATGTAGGGTTTGAATTCTCTTAGAGTCAAAACTCATATTTTTATCTAATTATTATGACTTTTCTATATATTGCTAGTGAAAGATTAAGCCGTTAGAATCATTAGATCATCGTCAAAAATCTCGTCAATATGATTCACAGAGTATTGTTGAACAATTCACGATAAAAGTATCGTGAATCTATCAAGTAAATTATCCTCGATTGATTGATGAACAAGCCATTATTAGAAAGAGGATGATCTGCTAGGAGATGAGTTGTCACTTCCTAAGAATATACTAGATGTAATAAAGAGTCTTCTCTTACGACATAGACCTAAGGATGAAGTTCCCTAATACGCATCTCACCTTTATTCAGCTCCTCTCCATTAGGTGACAACTACCAAAGAGTTGTAAAGTCATTGTTTTTCTACTCCATCAAACAACAACCACTGAAGACGATTTGATGACTCATTTCATTGATATCTAGACTTCACAAGAAAATCTAGAGATTGCCTACATCATCTTTATTCAAGGAGAAACTTCGAGACTATAGACACTACACGATAATCTTTGCGAACACTTAAGATTCTAATACATCATTGACACATTGCCGCCGCAACGTCGGAACTCTTTTTCTTTGTTTTTAATTTAACTTTCACATTAATTAGTGATAATTTGTGTGATTTAAATCTATCAAACTATTTTTTATTCAATTATGATTCTTTCAGCTTTTACTGATCTTAATTTGATCAATTAAATTATCTGTAATTACTTACATAAGAATCATCGAGTGAAACTCTATTTTTGTCCAATTTGCATTCGTCAAGCACTAACATCATCTTGATGTTCGTACCCTTATTTTTGTTTTTTATAAATTTTAAATATATTTAATATAAAATTCATAAAAATCATATTTTTTGAAAAAAATTATAAAAAAATCTCGATATTATATTATATCTCTATGATTGACCTAGAAAATGTATATTATTTTTAAAACTTTTATTGAATTATAATTAATAGATTTGTTTAGAAATATTTATAAATATCTAGAAATTAATATTTTCTAGTTTTATAAATTTTAAATTTACGTGATTTACTATACAACAACTTAGTTACGTCAAAAATATTATGCAATCTAGTGACATCAATGAGATCTCTTCCTAAGTAACAGGTGGAGGTGAAATCAATGATGACAGCGTGCACAATAGGGTGGATACTAGTGTCAACAAGTAAGGCTGTCATTCCATGAAATCTCCTCTCCCTTCACATGACTTGTGAAGTCTAGTTAATTGGTGAATATGGAACTTTAGATTGGTTAATGCTACTTCAAGCTTATTTCATTGAACTGTTGCACGCCATTTACTTTCTTATCTCAAATCACATCTTGGTCAAAGAATCTTCTTCATTGCACCTTCCTTACAATTGCAGAGATTTTCTAATGCAGATTGGGTGGCCTGTTCAAAATTCTCAAGAATCTATCTTTGGTTACTGTGTTTTGCTTGACGAATCACTGATCTCTTAGGAATCTAAGAAATAATTTACTACATCTTGCTCTTGAACATATGTTGAATACCATGCATTGGCTGTCACCAGATTGCAATCAACTGTCATTTTGTACGTGATCAAGTATTTCCTGGACCCGTCAAGCTTTATACCTATGAGATCCGAGCATCAACTTGTCGATATCTTTACAAAACCTTTCCCTGCAAATTAGTTGTCCTTTTACTGTCCAAGATGACTGTTAAAGATATTTACAGCTCATCTTGAAGGGGAGTTTTAGGGAACCCTCACGTGACCCTTTGCACGTAGGTACCCACCCTTAATCATGTCAAACGGGAAGACTAGGTGAGTGAATGAACAATTTTCATCTTTTCCTTTCTCTTTTCTCCCTCGTGCGCAAGAGGTTCCCGTCGACTGTAATAAAGTGTGATGGTCTAGAAGCATGGACATAGGATGATAGCAACAGAGCTTGAATGATTGAGTACCTCCATTAATGCTTATCCAGCGAGACACAAAAAGTTGGAAATAGAGAAGAGGAGGCTTTCTTCTTATGCTTTCGCTTCGCTTTCCTCGTCGCCGATACCTCCAAGGAGAGTCCATCGGCTCCTTCTGAAACTCCTCGCCGCAGAGGGACCATCTTCCATCTGGCTGTAACCCAGAGAAGAGGAGGGTCCCTACCTATGATAACTATTTAGAAGTTCTCGCGTTTTTACTTGTGGTCCCTGGCTGCAGAGAGTGGCCATAGAGGGACAAGAGCACTCACTGGTTGTACAGCAAAAATTTACAGACAAAAAAGGAAGAGACTAACCGAGCCTGGCCTAGAGATCACCACCATGCTCTGTATTGAGAGGATCCCCTTCTTTTCTTGAACGAAGAAAAGAAGAAAGACAGTGCTGTGAGAGGACCTGACGGATCGCCCTTTCACGGGGGTAGCACCTGTTTCCCCGTCTCCATTTCTTTCTATTTCATTTCTTTTTTGTTCTGCACCGCTATCCGAACTAACCGGCCACAATTGTTCCTGGAGCACGGATCTTAGTGCTCTGGGACGACTTCTTATTGTGCTCCTCCCTCGAGGCTGACGCTTTCATTGACAGGTTCCTGCTCTCCCTGGCCTCGTCAAACTCAATTTGCTCCTGCCGGCACTCCTCACTGCAAAATGGCATGTCGCCTCTGTATACATAACATATCCCCCCACCCCCGCGGAAATCGATAGAGCAAGAAAATGAGTAGACGGTTCCAGAAATGGGGTCTAGGAGACGCAATAGAGGGCGAGATCAGCCTCTGCACCTGTACATGTAGATGTCGCGATTGTGTCCAAGAGGTTTCTTGCAGAGAAGGCAGGCATCGAGGAAATGCTCCCCCTGGCCATCCCACCTTGGTTCGAGGAAGAATCTTGAGCGGCCATCCACTCCCGACCTCGGCGAGGGTATCCCCTGATCCCTGTAGATCCCCCAATTCCCGGTGGCGGATCTGCGAGTAAAGAGGGCAGAACAGATGCCACTGCCGAAGCCGGAGGTCCCAGCCTCCCGTCTTTCGGCACGTCCTCCCCCATAGCGACTCTTCTCCGCAGAAACGACGGTGCCGGCGCGGACAGGCGCGGAGATGTACTCGCGTTCCTCCATTGCCACGAAGATCGCAATCTCCTTGCACGCTCCTTCCTCAATCTTCCTCCTCCGAAGATCTCGGCGATCGGTTCCCGCGGAGGTGGAAAGTTGGTGGCGGTGGCCTTGCGGAATCGAAGAGGCCAGGGTGGCAGGATGGGATGAATTTATAGCGTTGCTCGCCTGTTCATCAAAAAGTTACCGCCTAAATTTAAATTTTGTTTTATTACAAAAGGGCTCCATCCCGGTTTCATCAGACGGTGCCGTCACCGGGAGGTTAATGCATCTCTCTGCGGTTGCCACAGATGCAGAGGCCTCGTCTACTATTGGTGACGGCTGGCCGTCAGATATCGAGAGGATCACCCAGATGCGGTTATCACAGTCGTTGAATTAATCTAAATCCCTGTTGCGTACGGCGGGGCTAGAAAGTTATATCCTGTCCGTCCATCTGAGACCTCCTAGGAGGGGAAAGCGCGATTGGACGGAGATCCCGGGCTTAGTAGGGAGTAAAGACAACGAGGACTCCGGCCTAGTGGCTCCCAAGTCTCACATAAAAGGTGAGACAGTGAGATTAACAAGAATTTCCCATTTTACTATTTTCCTGATTTGTTTGAAGGTCATTTATTTGATTCAGAAATCCCTCTTTAATCCTTCTACATTCATCCTCTTTAAGAATTAAATAAAAATTAATTAAAAAAAATACAAGAGCTGGTGTTCGTATTGGGGAGGTATGGGAAGATTGGGCTGTTTAGTCATTTCCTTTAATAAATTATTGACTTGGCCATCAAAAAGATGATGATATCCTATTAGTAGTCACAAAATTGAGTTTACTCCCTCATTTTGGTGAATTTCATGTCTTCACCCATGCTTTCTAGTTAATGACCTACCTATTTATGGTGTATAGCTTCAGCTGCCAAAATTTTATTCACATTGATACTATTTAGAGCCCTTCGTAAGCCATGGAAATTGTTTCGCCTCTGATTTTACCCATGATAAGGTTTTTAAGAATTTAATCTACCAAAGTTAACTTACCTCATACTTAATTTAATGATCATGGATCAGATGCTGATTCTAACATTGGATTTAGAATGCTTATCAATTTAGGTTAAAATGTATTGATCTTTGGAGTAGTTTACTAAATTCAATTTCAATGCTTATTTAATTAGAAAATATTAGAATATTTAATCGAGTACAGATAATTCTAATCAACTCATTACAAGTGCTGAAATTAACCATTCTGATTTCTGCTAGTTTAAATATTGATTATGGTCTCGAATTTAGAATTTTTTTCGTAAACAATTTTGGGTTAATCATATTGATCATCCATTAGTTTACTAAATCCAATTATAATTCCTGACTAAAATGGTTAACTAAGAGACCCTTGATTATTTTGTTAATTAAGAGTTACGAAATTTTCTTATGAATTTCTGTAAAAGGTTTGATTTGAGAGACTATTTCTGAAATTGCTACAAGTTTTTAATGCAAATAAATTGACAAATATTACATATTCTATTTAGTAATATATTGGATTCGCTTACAAACCAAAATGCATCATATGAAGAAAAGGAGTACTTTTATATCTAGAAAAAAATACAGGAGTAATGACAGGAATTTGAAAATTCTGTCATTAAATACCATCTATTTTCTGAAATAATATATTAAGCTTTTTTTTCTCTTAAATGCATGCATGTTAAATGAAAGGGATATATTTTCTTAAAATTAACGTATGAGTGTAAATTAAGCAAAATAAGAATAAAATTTAGAAAAGCTTGTGAAAAGCAAAAAAAGAATAAAATAAGAATAAGAAAGATGGTATAACAAGGAATGCACTAGAATAGCTCTCTGAAATGAAAGTAAATAGACAACCATTATAATTCCATTTATTAACGTGATTTTCGAGTGAAGGTATTTGTTCACTTTATCCGGCCGCCGCACCAGGGGTTTTAGAGCGGCTTCCTTCCTCCGCTCTTCCATCGCCGCCTCTCGAGGGGTGGGTCTCCCGAGTCTGTAACCTGAAGTCCTCTGTGCATGTGAAAGAGAGAGCGAGTGAGGGAGAGAGGGAGAGAGATGGCCTTTTACGCAGCAGCTCTCGCCTCGACATCCTTAACAACGGTTCCTCTCCGAGGTACTGCTGCCATTGCCATTGCCACAAACATCCAGGATTCACGGCAGCTTGTTTCGGAGGGGAATCCCTCCCCGGTAAGTACTCGTTTACGCTTCTCAATTCTGCTGCTGACGCTTCCAACATGAACGATAGGTCGAAGAATCTCCACCGGCTCCCGGCGCGGGTCCAAGGTTTTCCGTCCAACTCTATTTTCGTTTCCTCTTTTCTTTTTTTTTGGGGGGGGGTTGAGATACTAAACCCTAGCTCATCTTTTTTCACTCATGCTCGAGAACTTGTGTTTGTCGTTAATGGCGTTAGGTGGGGAGATGCCGTACACGTATTACTGCTCAACTGGAGCTGAAGGCTCCTCCATACTCCCTGGTGTGGCTCGGACTCGAACCTCCTGCGATTGTCTTTGACGTCTGCCTTTCTTATGCCTATCCCTCTGTTCGTCGTCCCTAGGATGCCCTAGAGCCGTACATGAGCAGGGAGACGCTCGAGTACCACTGGGGGAAGCATCACAGGGGCTATGTAGATAATCTCAACAAGCAAATATCTGGGACGGATCTGGACGGCTTGGCTCTCGAAGAAATTGTTGTCAGATCGTACAACGGGGGAAATCCTCTGCCCACCTTCAACAATGCTGCCCAGGTCCGTCCTCCCCTTCTGATCTCTATCTTCAACAATGGCTCGCCATATACTGATTCGTTAAGCCTTTCGTTCTTGCACGCGCACACGCCCACGCACACACACTGAACTGGGTTCAACTTTTCTTGATATAAAATGCATCTTTTCACCCCCGCCCCCAAAACACTGCAGATCTGGAATCATGATTTTTTCTGGAGCTCCATGAAACCAGGTGGTGGAGGACAACCACGGGGAGTCCTCCTGGAGCTGATTGAGAGGGACTTTGGTTCACTCGAAGGGCTGCTGAATGAATTTAAGCAGGCTGCTCTTACTCAATTTGGTTCTGGCTGGGCTTGGCTTGGATGTCAGTAATCCCTGAGACATGTTTCAGTACCTACCTGCCCGAAGATCCAGCCAATGGATTTAAATGGTTGGAATTGCTTGTGACCTCTCTGTTCTTTTCAGATAAAGCGAACAGACTTGATGTGGGAAATGGTGTGAATCCTCGCCCCTCAGAAAAAGATAACAAGCTTGTTGTTCAGAAGTCTCCCAACGCTGTGAATCCTCTCGTTTGGGACTACCATGTGAGTTTCTTTCCATACCATACATAAATTCCCTGGCCTTATCACGTCCTACTAGCGAAATCGAAATGCTCCTTCTTCCCATAAACTCCCAATGCTCTTGCTTGTTCATGATTGACCGCTAAAAATCGATTCTTTTTCTGCGAAATCTTGCTTTGGTGGGCGTCCTATGTTTCCTGCACGCATGGTTCAGCTACACGATGATGGGTGTGCAATTGGATCTGCATGGATAATTTTATTCATGATGATGGGTTTGCTCATCTAATGATGGAGCAGAAGTCAACGATATGATCATCTGCCGGGCTGTTCTTTTGCGTTCTTAGTTTAGTGGATTGGACTATTAGGAAGCCAGGTGCTTGGCTATGGAGGTCTCACTGGTGCTGATTTTTTCCCTTTCTTGCAGCCTCTCCTCGTCGTCGACGTCTGGGAGGTAACCCCCAATTCTCTGCTTCCTGTCTGTCTCTGTCCATCTGTTCATCCTGCCTGGTACAGGTTGTCATCTAATTCTGCCGTTGTTTGATTTCCTCACGGGTCGGGTACATTCATTCTGCAGCACGCGTACTACGTGGACTACCAGGTGAGTGGAGCCTTCCGACAGATTTGATCTGCGGACTTCGAGGATTCTTGATCTTCTGTTCTTCGTCCTGATGATGCCCGGTGGGGGGGAATTCATGTCTGTCTGTCTGTCGTGCAGAATAGGAGGCCCGAGTTCGTGTCCACCTTCATCGAGAAGCTCATCTCCTGGGACGCAGTCAGCGCGAGGCTGGAGGAGGCCATCGCCCAAGCCGCCGCGAGGGCAGAGGAAGACGAGAGAAGAAGAGAGGAAGAAGACGGAGTGATGGACGATGGCGACGCCATCGAGATGTACCTGGACACTGAGAACGAGTCCGAGGCCGAGTGAGAGGTCGCGCTCGAAAGCGGGCCCTGCTGATCTGATCTTGGTGGTTAGAGGAGCCAAATCACTCCAGCATCCGTCCTTTGAGCGGTTCAACCCTGATTAGGGCAAAGAAATGGAGAAATGTCAAATTGGAGGGGCGGGTGATCTTGGCGTTAGAGAGAGAAACCCACCCCCCTCCATCATCTGTTCTTTGAACTGTTCCGCCCTAATTGGGGCTAATAAATGGAGGCCTAGAATGGAATAGAGACGAGTGTGGACCGTTTGGAATGGCACGCGGGGGTTGGGCGGAGAAGATCGAAGGTCGACCCTATTGGCTGAGTTTAACGCAGGAAATGAAATTAGAGGAGAGAGAAAGAGAGAGAGGAGAGAGAGGGGCAGGCGAGAGTGAAAGCGACAGAGGAGAGAGAGTGGGACAGAAGAAGAGCTAGAGAGAGAGGGAGGGGGGGTGATAAATTGGTCCTGTGCGAGGGTCTCTTCCTTCGACGATCACAGAAGAGCTTCCGTCGCGAGCGAGGTACGTTCCGATGGATCGTCTCTCATGTGCTTTTGGTTGGAATCCTTTTCCTCAGCCTTATTGCAGCTACTGACGTTGTGGAATTGGAAATCTGGTGGTAGGATCTCTCCGGGTTCCCTGCCTGACAACGAGGTTTTCTCTCCAATCCTAGGTTTGTTTTCGCCACTGGGTTGAGATCCCAAAATCTGATGAGTAGCTGAGTGCAATCTCGATCGTTTCCCAAGATCCCAGATTTGTTGTGTGCTTGTATTCACTGTGTCGTGTTGTGGTTTAGTCGCGCGCGATGTCGAGCAGCAGCTCCCCTGTCCAACTGGAACTGAAGGCCCCTCCATACCCACTGGTGAGGCCCGGATCTGAAAGCTCCTGATGAAGATTTCTCACGCGTCTGGCGTTTCTGACTCGTCGTCACTCCTATTTTTTCTGCTTGCTCCTAGGATGCTCTGGAACCGTACATGAGCCAGAAGACGCTCGAGTTCCACTGGGGGAAGCACCACAGGGGCTACGTTGATAACCTCAACAAGCAGATCGTTGGGACGGATTTGCATGGTTTAGCTCTGGAGGAAATTATTGTCAAATCCTACAATAACGGAAATCCTCTCCCCACTTTCAACAATGCCGCCCAGGCATGGCTCTCCGTTCTACTACTCTCTTCCTGTACTTTGTAGTGTTCCTAGATAGTTGGCGATCTTTGATACTGGTTTAAGTTGTTGGTGACGCTCTGTATTTTTCCTTTTCATGCTCAACTGGATTTATGTTTCTTGGGGCATTTTTTCTGCCCCCTTTTCGTCTTGTTCACACTGCAGATCTGGAATCATGATTTTTTCTGGAGTTCCATGAAACCAGGCGGCGGAGGAAGACCATCTGGGTTGGTGTTGGAGTTGATAGAGAGGGAGTTTGGTTCAGTCGAAGCGCTCCTGAATGAGTTTAAGCAGGCGGCACTTACTCAATTTGGTTCAGGCTGGGCTTGGCTGGGATGTTAGTGATTCCCTGTAGATTTATTTGTGCCTGCTCTATGAGGATCTACTGATGCTCTTGTATCAGAGAAAGCTACCTAGCTCATCTGTTTTAATTCGTGTCGTATTCAGATAAGGATGGAAAAATCGTTGTGGAGAAAACTGCCAACGCTGTGAACCCTCTTGTTGCGGATTACCATGTAAGTATCTCTGTTCATGCCCTGGCCTTCATTTAACGTTAGATCTTGTATCATAGACTTTTGAGATCTGGAACTAGATTTTAATTAGTCCACAAATTGCGTACGTCTCTGAAGTGCATATCTTGATGACCACCATTACGCCACATTATTTCCATTGATTAAATAGTGGTATTACCTGTGTGTGTGTGTATATTATTACACTTTCTATGTCATTAAATTTTATGCGTTGATAAAATTTAATGACATAGTCTGTCTACCCACTCTTTCTGTTGATAAACGAATAGAAAGTAAAGCCTTCTCCATTAAGCAACTTTGGCACCTTTCATTCTCAAGCATTCAGAGGGTATAATGCGTAATGAGCCGCTTGACTTTATGATATTTTTATGTATCCATTGTTGTTGTTGTTGTTATTACCGTAATTTCTCCAGAGCTCCGGGGATATGGCTGAATGTCTATTTTATTTTGAGGGAAAAGCCAGATTCTCCAGCGACCAAGTGGCAAATGCTGTGTATAAAAGAAGTTATCAAAGGCTGGTTACGAAATTGATTTACTTATCACACACTAGAAGTTATCAAAATAGCCAGTGATGTCAATGTAGTGAGTCAGTTCATGCATGATCCTAATGAAGAGCATTTGGAAGGCTTCAATACCTCAGAGACATGCTTGGGGGGGGGGGGAGGGTTATTATTCCGGGATATGTGGAGAACTAGCCTCAGAAATTTATGAGATGTAGACCACCACAGAAGATTACTGATTTATGAGACCACTAACTATTGCATGCTCCTGGGAGGTGGCTTTCTTGTGGAATGGAAGAGCAAAAATCAATCTGTAGTTGCCAGATCGAGTGTTGGAGCTAAATTCAAGCCTGTGGCTCATCGAATCTAAGAGTTTTTGTGGCTGAAAACAATCATGGTTGACTTGAGAATCAAAGTATGCACATCAATGAAGCTGTATCGTTATAATGATTTACACTATCAATAGTAGGGCACATAATCCAGCCCAACATGATCGAACTAAGGATATAGAGATTGAAAGACATTTCATATTATGGAAGCTTGAAAGTGGGGCTAGTTAGCACCTCATTTGTGCTTTCAGGTCACCAGTTATCAGATGTTCTAACAAAAGGAACAACCTACAGCATGATCTCAGGAGCTAATGACCAAGTTGGTAATGGAAGATATCCAGTCGCCAGTTTGAGGGGGAGTAATGGATATCATGAGATATTTTCAGAGATATATGGCCGACTATAATATCTCCATGACTGCAAATATTTTCCTGCTATTGCTAAGGGTTAGACATAGATTTTTGAGGAATTCTGTTTCTCTGGTACTATCCATACTCTTCGCGTGCTTAATTTGTTGGGCTTCTAAATTGGTAGGTGGAAAAAATAATACATTAAATTTGTTGGCCTTCTAAATAAATAATATATTAAAGCAAGGTTTAATTAATTTAAATATTATTTTCAATTTTCTATAATATAAGAAATAAGGAATTTGTATCATAGAAAAAAGAGGAAGACATGGGTTTCTGAGAATTCACCGTTTATAATTAATTTAAAAACCGGGGCACTGTGCTACGTCTTGATGATTATTATCTTCAGGGCTGATCTTCTGGGTTCTTAGTTTGTGAATTGCATTATGAGAAAGCCAGGTGCTTTGACCTATGGAGGGAGGTCTCACTGGTTCTGATTTCTTTATTGCAGCCCCTGCTCACCGTCGATGTCTGGGAGGTAACCTTCATCACTCCATCCTGTCTCTCTCTCTGTCGATGTGTTTTTCCTGCCTTGTACAGGTTCTCATCTGATTCTGCCGTTGTTTGATCTCCTCGGGGGTCGGGTACATTCATTCTACAGCACGCTTACTACTTGGACTACCAGGTGAGCGGAGCCTTCTGGCAGAGCTCGTCTGTGGATTCCGCGGATTCTTGCTCTGATGATGCCGGTGTGTGTCGTGCAGAATAGGAGGCCGGACTTCGTGTCCACCTTCATCGAGAACCTCCTCTCCTGGGACGCCGTCAGCGAGAGGCTGGAGGAGGCCATCGCGAAAGCAGCCTAGAGCGCGTGAGAAGAGGAAGACAAAGACGAAGAAGAAGACGAAGGGATATGATGTCTCCCGGGATCTTGGAGAGCTGCCCTCAGACTTGGTCCCGTGTTGAACAATCTCCGACTTCTGTTCTGGGTAATAAAATGCTCTGTGAACTGTGAACCATCCCCGCAGACTCTCCCGAGGAGATTTCCAGTTTAATCCGAAAACGTGGAGAACATCTTAGAACGGCGCGCCACACGCTCTTAGACGCCTCTCTGATGATGGTGATGGTGATGGTGATGGTAATGGTGACTTAAAATGTGGGATTGAGAGGATATTTCCTCACGGGAAGGAAGATTGCGGCCACAAGGCTTCAACGCCAGCGAGATGAAACCCGCATGATGATCGTGGTTAAGCAGATGAATGTGGATGGGGCCGCGCAGGGTGGGTCGAACCAGAGCCAGACAGCTAGATTAGAAGATAAGAGAGAGAGAGAGAGAGTAACGAGGATAAGAGAGGGACGAGGGCGAACAAACAAAGCGATAGAGAAAGAGAGGCATTGGGTAGTGAGAGCGAGGAAAGGGTGATGGCTGTGTCGGCGGCGCTTTCCTCGACGTCAGCGGCAGCGCTTCCGTTCCGAGGTGAGACCCGTCCTCTCTTCTCTCGAGTTCTTCGATGGAAGCCCCACGCTTCTTCGGATTCCTTCTTCGTTGACTCTTTCCCATCCACTTGCCGCTCCTGCTGCGGACGTGGTGGACTCGGACACCAGGTGGTAGAATCTGCCCCTGCTCCCTGCGCGGCCCCAAGGTTTTTCCTCAAAACCCTAATTCGTTTCTGCTGTTGGGTTGAGATCGCAATGCCCGATGAGGAACTGAATGCAATCTCGATCGTTTCCCTTGTCGTTCAGTCGCGCGCGACGTCGAGTAGCAGCTCCCGCGTGACAGCCCAACTGGAACTGAAGGCCCCTCCGTACCCACTGGTGACGCCCCGAACCTGAAAGCTCCTCCTCCCGAAGATTTCTCAAGCATCTGGCGTTCTGACGACTCTTCGCCACTCCTGTTCTTTCTGGTTGCCCCTAGGATGCTCTGGAACCGTACATGAGCCAGAAGACGCTCGAGTTCCACTGGGGGAAGCACCACAGGGGCTACGTTGATAACCTGAACAAGCAGATCGCAGGGACGGATCTGGATGGTTTAACTCTGGAGGAAATTGTCGTCAAATCCTACAATAAAGGGAGTCCTCTCCCCACGTTCAACAATGCCGCCCAGGCATGGCGCCCCGTTCTACTACTCTCTTTGATGCTGCTTTATGCAGATGGTGACGCGCTGCATTTTCCTTTTCGTGTTTCAACGGGATTTATGTTTCTTGGGGCAAACTGCAGATCTGGAATCATGATTTTCTCTGGACTTCCATAAAACCGGGCGGGGGAGGCAAACCATCTGGGTTGTTGCTGGAGTTGATAGAGAGGGACTTTGGCTCGGTCGATGCTCTTCTGAGTGAATTTAAGCAGGCGGCTCTCACTCAATTTGGCTCAGGATGGGCTTGGCTCGGATGTTAGTGATTCCCACGCATCTTCCTCTTATTTTTCAGCAGTGGAATCAAGATCACCTTCTTCCTTTTGTTCGATGGAGAAAATTTGATATTTTTTTCTGATTCGTGGGTCATTTCCAGATAGAGCGGGCAAGCTTGTTGTGGAGAAAACGGCCAATGCTGTGAACCCTCTTGTTTCCGATTACACTGTGAGTTTCTTGTCAATGAATCCTGGCCTTCATCTAATTTACTATTTCTAGTGCTTCCTTATGCTTATGATTTACCATTGAAACACTTGGAACTACTTCATCTACTGCTCAGATAACTCGGGAACATTTTTCTTTGTTTCTGTAAGGGCACGCCTTGATTCCGCTGCAGCCGAATAATTACGATGTGCATATGCTTTCCAGTGCGTGGATCATTTACTGATGATATTTACTGTTCTTTCCAGTGCCTTGATCATTTACGATGTGCATATGCTTTCTGTAAGGGCACGCCTTGTTTCTTTCTACTGCTCTTAAAAAATAGCTTTTGGGTTAGGTTACAAGTCCAAGCTCAAGCTATGAGTGAGGGGCCAAGGGCCTAGGGTTGATACCTGAGGAAAATAGCTTGAGGAAACATGCTCCTATGTCACATCAGTGCGGTCTTCCCCTCGAGTTCTCTTGGTCAATCAAGTATTGTGACAGAAGAAAACTTACAAATGGAGGTGGGCCCCGAGAAAAATTCCCTATTAACATAGTATATACCGTGGTCAGCTGGCCCTAGTGTCCAATTTGCTGTATGGACATGTGCCAAATCGCTGAGGAAGAAGAACATAGACAGGACGAAGCTCCCCACAACACGCATGAAGGGACTGTACTAGTTTAGTTTGGACAAGAAAGTTTGTGATCGAATAAACTTACAGAGGGAGGTGGGAACCTAGAACATGCCCAATTGTCGTAGTATCCCGTGGTCAACGGGCCTTTTGATGTTCCAGGCATTCCTGGGGACCACTCTTGGAAGTGGTCGCATTCCCTAACAAAAAGGAAGACCAGAAGAGAGAGGAAAGGTTGCAGTGAAGGAGATCAGGTTCGGTCTAAGAAGGCTAGGAATGGCCTGATACCAGAAGCCTAGACCTCAAGGCGTGGCCATATGCCAAGCGGTCGACATCTGAGAAGGCCTCGTGTGGGAACTACACACATGATGGATGGCCTCCATCCCATGAGGCTCCTCAGTGGAGTTGAGCGTTAAGTTATCCTCAAAGGGATTGACATTCACCTCCCCAGTGGGGCTGTTCTTTTGTGTTCTTATTTTACGAATTGGATGATTAGAAAGCCTAGTGCTTTGCTATGGAGGTCTCACTGGTGCTGATTTTTTTTAATTTTTTATTTATTTATCGCAGCCTCTCCTCGTCGTCGATGTCTGGGAGGTAACCCCCTCATTCACTGCTTCCTGTCTGTCTCCCTGTCCATCGCTGTTCTTCCTGCCTGGTTCAGGTTCTCATCTAATTCTGCCGTTGTTTTATTTCCTCACGGGTCGGGTACATTCATTCTGCAGCACGCGTACTACTTGGACTACCAGGTGAGTGGAGCCTTCCGGCAGATTTGATCTGCGATAAAAATTCGAGGATTCTTGATCTTCTGTTCTTCGTCCTGATGATGGCGTTGTGGGGGGGTGGGATTCTTGTCTGTCTGTCGTGCAGAATAGGAGGCCTGACTTCGTGTCCACCTTCATCGAGAAGCTCATCTCCTGGGACGCAGTCAGCGCGAGGTTGGATGAGGCCATCGCCGCTTCCAAGAGTGCGTGAGAAGAGGAAACGGCTGGGCGAGTGTCGATGGTCAACGCCGCCATCCAGACGTTCTTGGAAGAGGGAGGATGACGCCGAAGACGATCGACCCTAGAACTGCCTTCAGATCTCGTCACTGTTGATCTGTACGAATGAGTCGGTAGTAGATTCTCTGCGGGGCAATGGTTGAGAAAAACTTGGCCTTTTCAGATCTGTTGAAGTCTGGACAGTTCTAATAATTCAACAAATGACTCCTTCAGCCCGGCTAATAATGCCGCCACGGATCGCTGCTAAACCTCAAGCTGCAGATCCGACATATCCTTCGAAGCATTCCATTCGTTCCTTGGTAGCTGCAGCGCTGCTAGCCGTACTGTCGAGTTGCTGCCGTCCTGCTCTGGCACCGCCAGTCCGCTCCTGTCAGCGCCGAAGGGACAGTCTCTCACAGGATGGGGTCCCAGAGAGACAAAACAGCCCCATCTCGGCGACCAAGGCGTCCGATTTGGGGCATCCTTGGCCCTTTTTGTCTCTCACTGCCGCCCTTGAGCATCCTCACAAAAGTCTCAATCATCTCCATGATCTACTGCTTTTCTTTTAGTCGTTACGTTTCTCCTAGTGGTTGATGCTTCCATCGGACCTGTCATCTTTCTCCTAGTCCACCAAGGCGTCGGCTTGCCTTATCCTCGTGTATTCTTGTGTGGATAAGAAAGAACACACGCTCCCCCGCGCAGTGTTGTAGTAAGTCGGAAGAGATGCAGACCCCGCAGTCTGAAGAAAATCTCACGTCGAGTGCATGCCAACCCATTCTTTGGTCGAAATTATCTCGATTTGCGGCGGCTTGTGCACAAAAAGAGACCAAGGATTGTGATGACTCTCGGTCTGAGAGGCCTGCAAGAGGTTGGCTAGTACCTGCGTAGTTGGGAGGGATATCACAAGGGTGAGGAAGGACCTTCGTCCTTGCTCCAGATCGAAGGTAGGACCCGTTCGATGGAAGCCCACTCTTTTTTCTGATTATTCCTTCTTCGTGGACTCTTCCCCCTCAGTCCACTTGCGGCTCCTGCAGCCGACGTGGTCGACTCCGACACCAGGTGGCAGATTCTGTCTCTTCCCTCTGCGGGCGGCGCCCAAGGTTTTTCCTCCAGCCCTAGTTTCTTTCCGCTGTTGGGTTGTGACCCCCCAAGTCTAATGAAGAATTGAGTTCAGTCTCGGTCGTTTCCCTCGTTGTTCTTAGGACATCTTGCAAGTTCGTGCTCCTAGTGTTCACGGTGTGGTGTGTTGTGGTTCAGTCGCGCGCGATGACGAGCAGCAGCTCCCGCGTGACCGCCCAACTGGAACTGAAGGCCCCTCCGTACCCACTGGTGACGCCCCGAACCTGAAAGCTCCTCCTCCCGAAGATTTCTCAAGCGTCTGGCGTACTGACGACTCTTCGCCACTCCTGTTCTTTCTGGTTGCCCCTAGGATGCTCTGGAACCGTACATGAGCCAGAAGACGCTCGAGTTCCACTGGGGGAAGCACCACAGGGGCTACGTCGATAATCTTAACAAGCAGATCGCAGGGACGGATCTGGATGGTTTAACTCTGGAGGAAATTATCGTCAAATCCTACAATAAAGGGAGTCCTCTCCCCACGTTCAACAATGCCGCCCAGGCATGGCGCCCCGTTCTACTACACTCTTTCTGCACTTTGTAGTGTTCTTAAAGAATCTTGGATATATGATACTGGTTTAAGTTGTTGGTGACGCTCTGTACTTTTCCTTTTCATGCTCAACTGGATTTATGTTTCTTGGGGCATTTTTTCTGCCCCCTTTTCGTCTTGTTCACACTGCAGATCTGGAATCATGATTTTTTCTGGAGTTCCATGAAACCAGGCGGCGGAGGAAGACCATCTGGGTTGGTGTTGGAGTTGATAGAGAGGGAGTTTGGTTCAGTCGAAGCGCTCCTGAATGAGTTTAAGCAGGCGGCACTTACTCAATTTGGTTCAGGCTGGGCTTGGCTGGGATGTTAGTGATTCCCACACATTTTCCTCCTTTTTTAATTTTCAGTAGTGGGATACAGATCATCTTACAAAGTTCCTTTCGTTCGATGGAGAAAATTCGATATTCTTTTCTGATTTGTGGATCATATCCACCAGATAAGGGGAAGAAAGATGTTGAGGGAATTGCTGTGAACCCTTCTGCTTCACCGGAACATAATAAACTTGTTGTTGTGCAGACTCCTGATGCTGTGAACCCTCTTGTTTTGGACTTCTATGTAAGTTTCTCTTTAAAACATTTCCTTACTTTTATGTATCAAAAAATCCCCTACTTTATGTCTCTTACTGATCGACCATTGATAATTCCACCTTTTAATTGCATTACGGAGAAGGGTTGTATCATACTTTTGGTTATTTGTGGAGCCTCCCTTAATTTTTGATAATTAACATAACAATGAAAAATGTACTCCTGAAGGATAAAAGTTGATCTAGCCAGCAGGGTGAAAGTAGATGTTTGCTTCATTCCACTTGTCTTGATTGGAAACAGGTTGGATTGCCATTGTTCCTCTGGTAAAAATCTCATTAATTTGATCTTCTGAACATACAGCAGGGCAGGTGTAGTTCCCATAATCCAACTCTCTTGATCATTTTAAAATGGCAGCCAATTTCTGTGTTTGTCCTGTCATCCTTCCCTTGATCATTTTCAATGTTCATTGCTGCCTTACTTGTCACGGTAGAGATTGAATCGTTGCTTCAATTGAGCCAATATGCCCTAAGAAAACTCTTGGCAGCCATAAGAACTCACCAAGCCCAGGAACCATTGCCTTGCATTCGAGTTTTACTGTTCATCTCGCACGATACTTGTTTGTTGCTTCTCCGCGTGACTAACTTGCATCCGTAAAAAATGGTGATCTGATAGTTTACCCACCCCGTCTCATTATGGAATCCAGCCCGCCCACTCTTACATCACACTATATCCTTCATTTTGGTGAATTATTGGTCTTGCATAATTATAATGTTGTCAGCATAGACAAGCAGGATGATATCCGGACCACATCTCTTCCTGAAAAACAGAGCCTGGTCTTTCAACTTCAAATATCTGTAGCCAAATCTGATCGTAGCTTGTTAGAAGCACTGGTTCTATGCTCTCTATGCTTTTTTTCAGTTCATATAGAATCAATTCTGGAGTGGGGCTTTGAGAACAAAGGGTGCCGATGACTATTAGGAGTCCTGGTAGGATTGAAAGTGTCTTTTTCCTTCAAGACACGGAGGGGAGTGTAGCAGAGGGACTGGCCTGCACCTAGCTAGCTAGTGTTGATCATGTTATGCCCGACTGTTCTTCTCTTGTGTTCTTGATACACTGCAATATTGGAACCAGATGGTTTAGCCATGAAAGTCTTACTGGTGCTGATTTTTTATTGCAGCCTCTGCTCGTCGTTGATGTCTGGGAGGTAATCTCGTTCACTCTTGTCCGTCTTCAGCACCACCTAGTTTAGTTGGTCGGATTGTTTTTCTTGGTTTCTACGGGTTCATCTAACTTTGGCATTCTTTGATATCCTCACGGACATGCAGCACGCTTACTACTTGGACTACCAGGTGAGTAATCCTTCTGGCAGAGCTCATTTGCGTGGATTCTTTCTCTGGCCTGGTCTTCAGCCTAATGATGCGGGGGCGGGGTGGCGTTTGTCTGTCGATGTTGCGCTGTGCAGAATAGGAGGCCCGACTTCGTCTCCACCTTCATTGAGAAGCTCATCTCCTGGGATGCAGTCAGCGAGAGGCTGGAGGAGGCCATTGCCCAAGCCGCCCATAGGGTTTTCTTATCTTCAAGCCTCTAGATTGAGATGGATGGCACTCCAGAATTCACTGTTATCCCGGACCCCCCCGGAGGAACCCATTTTGGGTTACTGTGGGGATGTATGCATGTTCTCGCATTGTTTCATATCCGATCCCATTCAAGACATACCAAACTTTAATGACACGAGTTCTTACTCTGCCAAGGCGGGCAGGCAGGCACGACGCGCGTTGTGTCGCCGTGCCGCCGTGCCGCCGTGCGCGGATTGTTTTTCCCGGCTTCTACAGGTTGTCACCTAACTGTGGCGTTGTTTGATCTCCTGTCACGAATACGGAGCACGCTTGCAGCTACTTGGGACTAGCAGGTGAGTGGAGCCTTCTGACAGAGCTCATCTGCGGGTCTGTCCGCGTTGTGCTGAGCAGAATCGGAGGGAAGGCGGCGGACTTTGTGCCCACCTTCATTGACAAGCTCATTTCTTGGGAAGCGGTCAGCAAGAGGCTGGAGGATGCCATCGCTCAAGCCGCCAAGAATGTGTCAGACGAAGGAACGAGAAAGGGATCACTGGCGATGCCATCCAGTGGGGAAGCAGAGAGAGAGAGAGAGAGAGAGAGAGAGAGAGAGAGAGAGAGAGAGAGAGAGAGAGAGTTTATAGAGGACATATATTTATGTACATGCACATGGCTTTTGTACACAGCAGCTATATTGTATACAACGTTGCTGGATGATTTATGAGAAACAAAGCGGTCAGCATGAGTCGACTAGTCTCCAGAAATGTGGACGAAGAGGAATCCCTTTGCCCATTCCTCCTTTTCTCATAACCTTGACTGTTGCTTCCATGGGTTTCCCCCTTCGAAGGCCTGCTCCAACACGTCCTCGATTCGCTTGGCAAACAACACCTGAGTTCATTTCCAACAGAAGTTACATCGATAATTTCTGCCTTCCCATAGGATACAAGAGAAGCAATATATCACAAGGAAATCCCAACGTTCACATCTGCGGGCACCTGGATCAGATCGGTGTCATTCGATCTGATTCCACGTCGGGAATCCCAACTCACAGGATCATGTCAGATATTGCTGACCCGAATCAGCTGGGTCAGATAAGATAGGCCCCATCGAACGATCTGTAGCTCTAAATATATGGTCAAGAATTGGCTGGGCATTGCTGATCCTGAACGGGTGTGATTGGATCAGATCGGCAGAACCTAATCGTCCGAAATCTGGCCAGATCAGGTCGAAACAAAAAGCCCATTCCCAAGCCGGATTGGCTGATCCCAGGTGCCAATGTATGGACATTCAGAAGATTTTTTTATATAAATCCTTGACAGGGCTATCTGCCTCCTACCGAATAGAATATAAAAATAGGGGATTCCAGTCCACCTGCGCTGCACAAACTTCGGGTAGCAACCAATAGAGAAGACCAATTTATAATTCTAAACAATCAATAATGGAAGAAATAATGCGCATTTCTTCAGTTTTCTTCACACCGCAATGCAATAAACACAACTGTCTTCAAGTACCATTTTGTCAATCAATGATAACAAAACTATCCCTTATAAGAGGTTAAGAGCATGTGAAATATCTAGATAGTAAAAATATGCATGATCGATCAAATCATAACGTGCAGGGTACTAGCATAGAATCAGTACCTCTACGTCGACAAGAATCGACGATGGAACCTCGACAAGATCTTTCAGGTTCCTCTCTGGAATAATGACTCGCTTTATTCCATAGCGATGAGCAGCCAGTACCTGTACATTTAGATGATAATCACAAAATGAAGCTAGTCGTCCATTTTTTTCTCCATGGAGAACAGGTGAAAGAAGAAAGCACACAATAATTCTCCGCCATGTTTAAAAAAAAAGGTTTGCTCAACCTATTCGTTTCTAAGGTGCCGTTTTCCACATTCTTAGAAACCATAGGCTATAGTTTTCTCTTCTTCGCCCTTTCTTCATTTCTGATTTTATAAAGAAGTTAATCTTTTTTTGGTTGGTTCTACTGCCTTGTGCTCCCAATTTTCTACCAGTTCCCCTCCTGTTAACCACTATTTGGGAAAAATTCTTGGATTTTCAGCTAACCTCAAGCAAAGTACATGCTACTTCAAAATTTTAGGCTAAATGAGACTCGTAAAGAGTAAGTCAAATTCAAATGTCCCTCATTCTTAGCATTCCTTTCTCCATTATGAGGCTATCAAGTAGAGAATTTTGAAGTATAAACTTGAAATATAAATCCACTTAAACCAGCATGATGAACGAAAACACTAAAGCGTGAATAGTACAACATACCTTGTCCTTGATGCCACCAACAGCTAACACAAGGCCCCTCAAACTCACCTCTCCAGTCATTGCAGTATCTGCCCGGACATTTTTTCGACTAAACAGCGAAACTAATGATGTTACCAAGGTAACCCCTGCCGAAGGTCCATCCTTGGGCACAGCACCAGCAGGAAAATGTATGTGAATGTCCTGACCATCAAGCAGGTTGATGTTCCCAGCATCTATGGGGTCTGTGGTTCGTGCTCTCACCTATTCAATCGCATTGAGATGAGAGAAATAAGTACACTTGATATGCTTCGAAGGAGTTTCTAATAAATTATAAAACATATACATTTATTAAACCGAATTCTAAACGGGGTATAATAATCCATGATTATGACTGGATATAACTTCGTTCGAGACTCGAGTTAGTATATTACACTTCATATTCAATAGAGTATGACCAAAGTATTATTGAAGTTAAATATAAAAAAATGTAATTTGCTTGGAAAGTTTAGTCCTTTGATTCACTCTTGTTTCATCCAAAGAGTCCTTGCCCACGTACCCAAGAATGCATTCAAGGACAGTATAATCAATTTTAAATTTAAATTTTACACACTTTCACAATAGCAGACGATTATTCATAGACATCCGTTTTCATGCAGAGGGGATACTCATAAAGAGTTCAATTAAAATCCAAACTACAAAGTAAATCAAACTTTTTTTGCTTCTTCATGAAGAAAAATGGAACTAGGAAGCTCCGTGCGAAAATCTGACACCGTTCATTTAGGATGATGCAACAACTCAGACATGTTCAAGGAACAACTACGTGGTTGTAGACATTCAGGTGTTCCGACCAAGGTTCTGCTAGTGTGATCCAGATCAGCAATGGGCCATGGCCAAAACTCAACTCCCAACAAGAGGGTAAATTATCTTGACGATAGTTGCAATCAACATTAATCACAGCAAAATCCACCACTAGGCTTCAAGTCTTAAACTACTAAGATTATCCCACCCCCCTAAAAAAAAAAAAAAAAATTAAAAAAAAGCTTATCGTGGACAATATAACCAGTCTTGGAGTTTGGCTAAACTACCATTCTTCCTTATGACAGAATGAATATTTAGGATTGGTAAGGCCTCATGGTGCGTAATCATGTTACAAACCAGTGACAACTTGGTGTTACATAGAAATAAAATCTAAAAAGACTATGACAGCATAGTGTTAAAAAAAATATAATTAAGGCATCGTAATGAGAAATATAGCATTAGATAACAAGAGGAGAGGCTTATGATAATGAGCACAGGGGGTTGAAGTTCCCTAAATTTGAAGATTACAAAAGCAGAAAACATGCGTTAGGAGAATGTTGAGGGCATACCCAAGTTAAAGCTATTTGTGCTGATTCTTTTATGACATCACCAAGTTGTCCAGTAAGATGCAAATGACCCTTACCAGCCATTGCTGTTGCCTCAATGAATTGAACATCACCGCCGAAGGGGGTCCATACAAGACCAACTGACACTCCTGGAGTTGCCACACGTTCTGCAGTTTCCCTATCATCAAACTTAGGGGGCTGCATCACAATAAACATGATACTTAGTAATAGTATGGAGCTTTAAACGTGAAATATTACGCTAATTTTAATTTGACATTATGCATCTAGTCCCTTAAGAGGAGAATTACCCCAAGAACTTTTTCGAGCATGACTTCATCTAAGACTATTTTTGAGTTATTCTTCAGAGCATTTGGTATCGTACGACGATCAACCATTGAAATGTCGTCCATTTCGAGTTCAACACCACAGCCGCAATGTGCATTTAGGAATGAAGACGTCATTGGTTGAACATTATTGCAAAGTTGAGCTCCATATTCCTTTTCAGCCACTCTAACAGCAACAGCGCGAGCTATGGCGGATAGATTTCGCTCAAGATTTCTAACTCCGGCTTCTCTAGTATAGTGCTGGATGATAAGCATAACAATTTCCTGAAAAAACAGGATCATAACTGGCAGAAATGTGAGGCGAATGAAACTAAGCCATCATAAAGAAATACACTATCGTGAAAATCGAGTTGATTGGTTGCCTGATGGTTGTTTTCTTCATTCGTAGATGTGTATACTTGAAATTAAATAACATTACCCTTCATTTTCGGAGGAGCATTTTTTAAAATACTAATTAGTCCTCCTAAATAGCTTAAACACCGTTATTTGAATCATAAAATTCCTTTACAATGCGATATTGAATACTTGTATTTCTCATCTGAATATTACGAGGATGTCAAACATGAAAATGTAGGAATATTCAGCTGTTCTACTATGCAGCCATATTCCCGGTTTACTAAAGTCAATAGTCATACCAAAATATAAGTAAACGAGCTGTATGCGATTCAAGGCAATAAGAACAATATTTTTATCACATATACTTTTAGCGTGTCCTCCTACCCAATATAGGACCTTAGTATCGTCACCTGTTGTATTACACAACTCCTTTGAGAGGAAATGGAGGGAAGATTAAAATCACCAATGAAATCGGGACATATAATTCATTCATCTTTTTTATCATGTGGAGACAGGATGATACCAGAAATTCTATTGGTATTTAAAGGCGTACAGACTCAGGGTATTTTAAGCATTATGTTCTTCAAAGCATGATCCAAGAATGACCACTTCAGGAGGTAAGTGAATCCTAGGCAAGCATCATAACTTGATCACAAGTGACATGTGTGAACCTGACATGTGCGAACCATTGCTACATAATCAAACACACAAGCAATATAGAAAAATAGAATTATCTTAAGCAGGTTTTCAGTAGTAAGATGCCATGGCTTGGTAAATAGGGCAAAATAATGTTCATACCTTGGGTATCTTCAGGAGATCAGAATTTAAGCCATGTCGCTCTAAAACTCCTGGTACCAAATGGTGCATGGCAATTTTCAACTTTTCTTCCGGTGTATATCCTGCCAATTCGATGACTTCCATACGATCCAAAAGTGGTGGAGGAATTGGTTGAGCCTCATTAGCAGTGGCAACAAATATTACCTTTGAAAGATCAAATGGAACATTTAGATAGCTACGATTCTCAATTAAGGATTCAATATATCACCGGAAGCTTATTGTTACTTGTTTAATCCCTTATTTACTAGCATGGAAAGGAACAAATGAATCCTGGGGGCTCAACCAATTTTGCTAGTATCCTCAAATGTTTTCGGGCCTTCTCAGATGCTATGGATGGTATACAGCTTAATAAAAATAGCATATGATGCAAAGGGACAGTAACACCAAGGATACTGATCAGTGAAGGCTTTATTCTGCTGTGGATCAAGAACCTCTAACAAGGCTGATGCAGGATCTCCGGAAATATCTGCGCCAACCTTATCAATTTCATCTAATAAGATTACTGGATTGTGGACGCCTGCTCTCTGAAACCAAATATTTGGAAATCTCAATTTAGGAATAATTCATGAAAGGAGATGAAGAGTTTGATTCACACAGAAATACATATAAAAAATGAAATAGCATTTTGATGTAGGACATCACTTCTAGAAAAGAGAAGGTTAATTTTTTTTTGACTCAGATGGCCCAAAACTGGTGGCCCAGGCATTCTAGAGGTTTGAAGCATGGGCTACAAAGATGAGAAGTCCCTAAAAGACCCAAAACCAGATTAGGTCTAAATATAGTGTCTGAATAATGAGTTAGAGTTAGTTTTTTGAAAATCACATGTTTGTTAGGCTATTTGAATTTGTTAGATCCATGTAAAGTATACGTGAGAGTCAATTTTAGTAACTGGCACGTTTGTTAGGACGTTTTGATTTTGTTTCAGAATCTTTCCCGAGCTTTAGAGGGACCTTAACTAATTTTCGATTAATTTAAAAGCCACCACATAAAGGCAACTTGGTTATTACGATTTTTTGTTCCTTTTCAAGAGGGTTTCGAGTACTTGTGGATTTAATCAACGCCCGTAGATTCAAGGGACAATGCTATTTTGACCCATGGATTCAAGGATATCTTTGATCCGTACGGATTCAAGGGTCATCCAAGCCGTTCATGAGGATTCAAGGATTAGGGAAAATCATTCCTTGCAGATTCAAGGCCCGATTTTCATCCTTTTAGCACTCTATATTTATGCCTTAGATTCAAGGTTCAAACCTTCCATTTTACGCATCTCTTGCTGCGTCACATTTAAAGAAGAGGAAAAAATATATTTTCTATCGACATGGGTTTTAATTGCACACGGCAGAAGATCTTTATGCAATGGCGTGCGTTGAGTGGGAAGAAGCATAAGGAATACAAGAGTTCATGAAATGCTGGATGACAACTTTCGAACCGCATAGTGGCCAAAAATAATAATGAAGCTCCACGTATAGAACGCCAATGTCACACGACGCATATCGTTGTCAGGGAAAATGCATCATCAGGTCATTTATCCTAAACAGGTTTATCAGAAGGTACCCTGTTCGGTCAAATCATGACAAAGATATGGTCCAAAAGGCAAATGAAACATCTAGGAGGAGACTAGTAATTTACTGATAGTGGTTTACTTGAATACACAATCAAATCAGTTAGAAGTATTGAAGAATCATTTCCTTCTGATTGGGCATAGTAATCTAACTGAATGGAGAAATCCCTAAACATACAATAGCATTTTTGAAATTCACTGAATAAAATAAATATTAATCTTATAAATTAAGACAAATAAACACGTACAGAAAAGAGCACAAACCCTCAAGCCTTCGATGAGACGTCCTGGCATACTTCCGATGTATGTCCTCCGATGACCTCTGATATCAGCCTCATCCTTAACCCCACCAAGAGATATCCGTACAAATTTTCTATTTAAGGCAGTAGCAATAGAAGAGGCCAATGAAGTCTTTCCTACACCTGGGGGACCAACGAAACACAAAACTGGTCCTTGGGCATCTGGTTTAAGCTGTAGACCATGCAGCATATAAGGATGCGAGTAATATTTCAGGTATACTAGAAAAAAGAATACAGCAGGTTAAAAACCTTGTGCACAGCTAGATATTCGATTATCCGCTGTTTAACTTTGGTGAGACCATAATGCTCACAATCAAGACGCTCCTTGGCAACTTCTAAATTCAAAACACATTCTTCACTGGCCTTCTGCCATGGAAGATCAGCAAGGAGCTCAAGATACGCATGTGAACTATTATACCCAGGTTGTTGGGGTTGCATCCTCTGCAGTCGCCTAAAAGAACAAATTTCTGTCAGCAAGTTATGAATCATAATGTCAACATCCACACAATCGTAGCTAACAGTTATACATTGATGCGTAAGGATACCACTTGATAAATAAATCTCTTCAAAACTCAAGAATAGCAAGTTTACCCAATGAGAATAGAAAGAACCAGTAAAATGATATCAAGATTAGATCAGTCAGATGCATAACTTACTATAAAATACGATCTTTGCCTTTCAATAATTCATGCTGATGATGAAAGATATCCAGGTCAAATAAAAAAGTATAACGTCGATGATTTCTAATTAATTCACACCAGGAAAAAAATTAACTTTTGGAGAAAATCAGGCACAAGGGAAAAAGTGGATGTAGAAAAATATAGGAACAAGGACGATGACCTCTGTCATAGAGGATAGAGGAGAGAATGGTGGACAACTACCTCTTCCTTCATTCACCCATAACACTGTTTATATAGGGAGGAACCCTAGATAACTATCCCAAAATAACCGCAGTTTTCTACAGTATTTCCTTACGACCTAGAACTTCCTACAGTCCTCCTGTGGAAAGTGAACTTTAGAAAAAATTATCTTAACTAAGTCAGTGAAAAATATTCACTAGTTGGAAAGTGAACTTATGATGACGATGATCATAAGTTCAACAACTCCCCCAGTAACGGTGTTGAAAAGCTCTTCTTCTATTGGGTTGTAAAATTGTAAGACCACTACGTAGGACAATGATGCCTTTCGATGCCAGATTGCACGGGACTATGCAAAATGACATCAAACAATGTGAGATGACCTTGGGACGCTTGAGATGACACTAGATAGAGAACTACATTGGAAACATGGAAGACAATACCAGATGGAAAAGGGACAGTGCCAAATGGTTTAGACAGTAGCAGTGCAGACTGTAGGAGACCTTGGTCACCAGACTAAGGAGGACGTCAGACTGATGCAAGGTAGAGGGAGCTGGACTGAGGAGGATGGAGGATGGCACTAGATGCCGAACATATGCCAGACAGAGGATGTCACTAGACAGAGAAGGGACAGCACCAGACGAGAACGTCAATGCTAGACATCACAAGACAAAGAACGGACATTGTAATGAGACAACATCTGATAGATGACTAAATAAGAATGGCGCCGGGAAGATACTCAACAGAAGCAGAAGGCCTCATTGGAAAACAACACAATAGAGGTAGAAATTCTTGCCAAAAAAATATTCAATGGAGGTGGAAAATCTCACTAGAAAGCAGCACGACAGAGGTAGAACCCTCACCAGAAAGATACTCGGTGGAGGCGGAAGACCTTGTTAGAAAGTAGCATGATAGAAGTAGAAACCCTAGTTAGAAAGATACTCGGCAGATGCAGAAGACCTTGGCGGAAACATACTCGATAGAGGCAAAAGACATCGTTGAGAAGAAACACGACACCAATAGCTCCGGCGGGTGGCCACAAAGGAGATCGATGGCGACGACATCAACCTATGATGGCGCCAAAGAAGGGTTTGAAACCTCAACCTGGCTCTGATATAATGTAGAAAAACATAAGAACAAGGACAATGACCTTTACCATGGAGGACAGAGGGGAGAACAACAGACAACTGCCTCTCCCTTCATTAATCTATAACACCCTTTATGTAGGGAGGAACCCTAAACAATAGACCTTAATGTTAACAACAATAAGCACTGCTCACCGCAGTTCCTTTTGAGCTTGCTTTGAAACATTTGGAGGCATTCCAGCAGTCTGCACCTTTCTCTCCAGAGCAACAACATCATCCTCATCATCTTCACCATCCCCAAGTTCATCTCTGATTGCCCTCATCTGAAGTTTCCAAATGTAAGATGAATGGGAATATGTAAATACAGATATGCATCACAACTAAACAAATATCACCAACTATTATGACTAATTTCCAAGAAATTCCGTTTTTGGAAGCCATTATAAAATCCCGTTCAAGGCACATATGGGCAAAGATAATATACAACGAACCCAGGGATGTGACATGTGATATTTCATGGAAACGGGCGAAGATAATATAAAACGAAAAGGGTAATCTTTGTGACACTATGTTACAACAAGTGTTTCTTCAGAGACCGAGATGAAAAAATTATAAGCAAAAAATTATAATAGTTTACGGATATATCAAAAGAAAGGGTTCCAATGGACAGAATTTAGTGCGTGGTTCTACAAATATCTCAAAAAATTGGATCATGGAAACCAATACAACAATAACTTTGACATAAAGGACAGCAGAAATTGGAAAGAACAAGATCAGCTTCCCAAAGTAAGTGGAAAGAAATCTCAGGAGAACTATGACATATCTTGTTCATTCTAAAAGGATAGTTAACTTTACAGCGACAACATAGCCTTGCAGTAATTAATCAAGGCAAGCTCCTGGGGAACATGCACCAGACAAAAAAGCTGTCTGAAAAAGGACAAATTTGGAGGCCAGACGCAACACATACCTATGACTAAAGAAATAAATGCGAAAGATAACATCCAGATGGTTGGCGCAGAAATTTGCTAAGAATGGGAAGTTTTTACTAATTTTTTTTATCTATACAGCTGAAAATGTATTATAATGATGTTAAATCTGTAACATCACAGGCATCATGCATTATTATAATCATGGGACAGTTTAAATCGTAAGGTAAAAAATAGAAGATAAGAAACAGAGGAACAACGAAGTTTGGAGGAAATAACTGAACTGTTTAAACTGCCCAACAAATCAGACAATTCATTGAGAATCTATAAGTCCTGTAGTTGCTTTACCAAGTTGCAACTCCAGCAAATGCATTACCAATGACCATATCCATACACAGAATTTATGCACGAGAATGCTCAGAAGTCTACATAAATAACCTGTTGGCGAAGAAGAAATTCTTTCTGGGATTTTGATAACTGGCCCTCAACCTTTTGGGTTATCTTCTCTGCCACACGAATGGACTAGACAATACAAAATCAAAGACATGAATTAAAACGAAGCATGTCTGTACAGAAATAATAATTGGAACGTCACAGGTGTATAGCATAAGATCTTTGTGGTTAATCCAATCATCACCTGCAAATGTCTACCCACAAGTTCAGTGGCTTTGAGGATCCTTGCTTTCAGATCAACGCAGTCCAGCACAGATAGCTGCTCTTCAAAACTTATTTCAAAGCTTGCCACGAATATATCCGCCAGTCTATGCACAGGAACTGTCTCAACAAGGGATTTTGCCCGACCAATAGCTTTTTGCTTCTGCGGAATGCACAAAAGAGCAACAAGTTCTTCACTATTAACTACAACAGATGGCATAAGGAACAGCAGATACACAATTGAAGTTTTACACTTTGTCAAAAAAAATCTACTTTATCTCCTCAAGGCTCTGCACTCACTGCATCAATAAATAGCGAAGAGGAAATACGAAATCGGGCTAAAATCTAATATTTCATTCTCAAGCTCAAATGATGAGGGACTGGTTTATTTATACCTGTCCCAGATGATACAACTGGACCGGACCCATACTGAACCAAACCGGTCCAGTTCGTACAAGAAAGGAAAGAAAAACTTTGGGTGAGAACATGTCAAGAAGTACTGACATTGCTTATAATGTCAAGAAAGTATTGACATTGCTTGACATACTTCAATCAGATACGCCAAAGGCAACAGTTTACTTATAATGTTCTGTAATCCTTGAAATTTTAATTCAAGAAATTGTTGAAATGAAGAAAGGAGAGAGGGAAATGGACAATGCGAAGGAGGAACTTTCCTCTATCTGAGAGGATAGATGGGAGGAGGGGGAAACCACCACACCTTTCATTTCCATTTATCACACATTGTATAGGGTGAGAACCCTACACGATATTTTCCAATATACCCTCAGACTGCTCCAATATTCCGTCCACAATACGATCACGTTTTCGAGATCCAACAATAATCACAGGTCAGAACTAGTATGTAAAAGAAAAATATGCTGCAGATCCTGCTTATGCATGTACCGAACATCGGATAACAAATCATCAATAAAATAAGAGCATAGAATGCCTGTCGATACTAACATCAGATAGAGGTTGAAATTAAGGTAATAACGTATCCACAACAGTTGAAAATTATAAGAAACTGTGTAATACCGTACCATAGAAAATAAATACATAAGGTACCCAACAGTCCAATCTTCAGTGATTTCTTCTCAGTATCATTTTCTATCCTCTAGTTCTGCCTGTGTTGTGTTATGCACAGACAGCTAGTTTCTAAGACTTGAATAGAAAGAGGTCTCCCATTAAGCTTTACCTTTTCAAGAACAGAGATGAGTTGCAGCGCAGCAGCTTTAAATTGGTGTGAAAGAAGCATGATATCTGGATCTTTTTCTGCTTTCTCGATATCTAGGGAGAATGAATGATGGAGAAATTAAAAAATAGAAGTACGCTGTATGTAAAATGCAAGAGCAGAAAATTATTTGCCCAAAGAACTGAAAATATCCTTCAGATGTTGAGAACTACATTAGGAAGTTACGAAGGAGTTATTTAGGAACATTAACATGCATTTAACTAGAACTATAGTAATGAATTCACAGAAAATCCTTTCTGCAAACTATCAGCTATCACGCCCTGAAAAATAATGCATCAGAAATTGAGAGAGATTGAAAGAATTGCGAAGCATATACTCTGACCAAGAGAGTATAATAGAGTGACGCACCAAGATGAAGGAAATAAGAATCTAACTAAAGAAATAAATGATCTCCCACAAAAAAGAAATCTAATGACGGAGACACCATGGATGTGGCTGATTTTAACAGAAATCAGCAAATATCAATTTAAATGACGGTTGATCAACTAAATAAGCATTCTCTATGTGCAGTCAAAGTAGGTCTATATTACTAGTTATGGTCACTATCAGGGATTCTTGCTTCCAAAGCAAGTTTCAGACAGCAGAAATCATGAAATTTCCTCTGAACTGGGGGTAAAAATACAGGACTGTTGAAACCTAGCGACAAGTATAACCAGCAACAGTAGATCTTCGATAGCAACTTAAATGATAAGTCTATAATAGAACTGACAACAACTACACCTAGACCTGCGGGGGATCTACTGTTGTTGAATATTGGACTAGTATAGTTGTTGTCAGTTCTATATGTTGTCAATAATCTGGAATATTAAATGCAATGAAATCGGGAACATTGAATATTGGACTAATATCATAGTCAGCAGGAAGATCAATCACATTAGCGTTCGTTCTGATGTGTTTCAAAATCTTGAAAAGTCTGGCACCTCATACAGAAGATCAAAGTTCTTGACAGTTCTAGAAGAAAACCGCTTAGATTTCACCCTAGCAACAACATAATCACCTTCGTGAGTCAGCCAAAGCTTTTATTTTTCACTGTTCATTTCAATTGTTTTTCTGAACTCCTATGCATTGATTGAACATGTCATGCATATGATTTTATATAACAAAAAAACCTAGAACAATGATTCATAGGAATGAGATTTTTTAGGCCTTCTAGGTTAGTAACAATGTACAACTTCAAAAGGACTAATGCTGATTTATCTACTCACAGGGTCATTATATGCGAACTCAGCTTTAAGCAAAAAGAAAACCCAAGTTCCATTACGCTCACTAACAAGACTTCGCGAAAAATTCCCAAGGCTTTGGTTTACTACTGTCTATCCATCAGTAGTGGCAAGATTTAGTTGTCCCCATGAGATTCAACAAGGTTTTCCAAAGTAATTCAATAAACTTGACATCCCTATAGAATACAATGATTATATTAGGATAATGCAATCTAAGAACCACATCAAAATATAGCTTGACGACTCCAGAAGCGTCAGATGTTTTGGAGCATGGACGGGATGGAGTTTGGATGAGGACATCAGAGTCAATCATGCATCAGGTATACAGTTCTACACTCGAAGGAAGCATTTTCTGGACTTGGTTAATAATCTAATCGGGGTTTTTACTTTCTGATTTTCGTTGGTCACTAACTCCTACTTATCTTTGACCATTTTCGCTATTTCTAAGAGTATTTAAGGCATACTTTAAAATCCTAGGTTGTCCCAATGCAGTCAAAATAATTTCCATGGGTCAATCATGTCAATTTAGTCAAAATAATTGGCGTATAGCTTCATGCAGATGCCTTATAGTAGCTTGGCAAAAGAATGTGCCATGAACTTATCAACGTTAGAAATGTCTATCCCATTTAAAATGCAAGCCTAATCTGTCTCATATATCTTTGCCAATTGACTCCGACACGAAAAAATTTGAAGTATTAATTTCTTGTATGTCAGTGTCAAAATCCAGGGTAGGAGCAGTTATAGGCATAAACCATTCTTCAATGGTATATCTAGTTATCGAGGAACACTTGGTGGGTACGATCTTCCTCATCTGTAGCAAAATTCTCCATGGAGTTTATGAACTTTCCTTGAGGATGAGCGCTCATTGAATGTTTGTCTGGCAACGGTGAAGAAATGGATGCAGAACGTATTATTTAAAAATAAGACGTGATAAAAACCTAATGGAAGTTGATGAGAAATTTTAGTGAAAGGGATTATTTTCTGATGCAGAGAGAAGAAAAGAGGAAAGAGAGTGTATGGGATGAAAGAGAGAGTGTTAGCGTTAATCAATTAATATACTTTCTTTTTACCTCTTTGAGAGTGAAATTACACATTCATATGATGAGATATTGAATTTTTTTCCATTGTAAAACTATAAATACCTGTCAATCCGGTTCCTCTGCAAATAGTCACCCTGACCGTTATCATCCACATCGTACTTAATTTCTCTTTGACTAAGAGACTTAATTTCGATGGGCATTGCAAATATGTTGGAGTAGCTCAGTAATGCAAACTTAAACAAGATGAAAAAGATAAAATATAGGATAGTCACGGCAGTCAGTGAGCCCCGGTGGTTTCGGAGCTCTTGGATCATTCATGGGATGGAGCAAACCCGTCAATCAATGATGAGAAATGGCTTAGGATGTCAGTTATGATAAATGGAAAATAGGCTGATAATATGCATGCCCATGGACCTACAAAAATTTAAATCATTGAGAGATTCATTTAACAGAAGTGTTATTAAGGGACATATATATATATATAGAGAGAGAGAGAGACGTCCTAAATGGAAAATAAATACAATATAGTTAGAACAAACAAGTAGAAAAAAAAGGACAAGAAAGAGTTGATCTAGCTTACCAGGTCTCGTCATATCAAGGTGAGATACATCACCCAAGCAATATGTTCCCGCGGCACTAAGTTTCTGAACACTAATCCTACACACACCCTCAAGGACAACACTGTAAGTGACCTTGCCATTGGGTTTCTCAACTCCTCTAGAAAGATGTAAAGCTCTCGCAGCAACTCCCCTGCAATTGTCACAGAAACACTCAATGCCCCAACCTACTAATTAGAGGTGGATTGTGCAAAAACTACTGATAAAAGACAGAAGACTACTACCACCACGATACAAGCAAAATGGAACCCAGGAAACTAACTGAATGAAATTTCAGCCTCAGAGGTAAATTATAAATCCAAAACCAGAAAACTAAGTTGGAGGAACATCAAGGAGGTAAATCTCGTAATCTCGTAACCTGAGAATAAAGAATCATACCATCCTGTTTATCTTAGGACAGGCTACCATCATGGTAAAAGGGAACTGCCCCTTTTGGTTGGTAGGAAGCTATAAAACTAGCCAGTCTTTTTACAGCATCTTTTTTTTCAAGAGAAAAAAAACAGTACCCTACTAGAAAAATCATATCCTGAAAACCTAGGAAAGAACCATGGAACAAGGTTCAGCAAGAAATACGACAATCACCAGAAAAAAAATCCTATAAAGTATCTCTGTTGAGGTGTTCATCTGATCAAAGCATACATGATATATCTGTCTACTTTCTTCCGAAATTTATTTTTCATCTGGGTTGTTCGTTCCAAATTTTTTCTGCAACTTTGAGCAGTTCAAGTGACTCTTGGAATGTATAGCAGACAAAGTCTAAACTCACAGGTAAAAAATTTACCTTGGGGAGATTTTAGTCGAGAACTTAAGGGAAAATATATTTCATTAGGTAAAAACAAGATATTGAAGTAATGAAAGACGACTGTTCTGATTGCCATCAGCATATAATAAAAGGTGGAAAAAAAATAGCATAAACTGAGGTTGACTTCCCTAATCTAAACCTTAATTACTAATCTGACGCTTCGAAAAGATATATAGCGCGGAATTAGTAACTCTTTGACAGTATTTAAGAAGAAAAGACCTTGTAAGCCCAACCCTGATCCGAATAAGCGGTTTTTATCCCTACAAGAGAATTAATGATTTCAGCAGCATGATCTCAATTTCAATGGACTACACCATCTCTAGACAGTTTCATTGTACCAAGACCATGCTTCATCCCTCTTTCGTTGCTCTGTTAATCTAGAAAGATATATATATATATATATACAGAGCCGAAATGATATCCTGAATGAATAATAGTCATCCCAATTATTTTCTAAGAAGAAATTTCAAACCTCAAGACAATCTTTCACTGCACAAGATCCAAAAGCAACGACAACTCAAAATAAATTGCCCATTCGGGATGAGAGAGTAATTCATGCCACATCTCACGAATATTTAGCAACATTAAAGCCCATATTTCCCAGGTCAGCGTCATGAAAACTCAAATAATATTTCCATAAGTCAAAAGGGTATCAAATATGATACTACCATCACAGCTTATAATCTCTGCTTATCGAACATAACAAAAATATCACTCTGAAACAGGTAGAATTTTCATAGGAATCTACGACAGAAAACAGAGAATGAAATACCCATCCACAATGTCTGTGCATCAGACTTCTGTGTCTATTTTTGACTTTAGGCATGCATATCCCCTCTGCAATGCCAAATCTAACAGCGAATGGGGTACATGACGAATATAGCAAAAGGGGCACGGAGTTTATCACGAATTTTCAGCCAGACAAATTTGCAAATGCCAGATAGAAGAATTCGTCATGAATCTAATCCATCCGAAGAAAGAATTTCACAAAAGTTGACATGAATTTTATCCGACAGAAGAAAAAAGAATATAATTAACAAAAAGCTACAACCAGGTTCTAGTGAGATCGGGAACCATGACTAGATTCCTTTCAAAGTAATTAATGTCTACACGTTTTTGTCTTCACTTCTATGTAGAACTAAGAAGGAAGTTCTGAGATTTTTGATACCACTTATTTTGATCGCAATAAAAGAATCAAATCAAGGAAAGCAACCTGTTGTGCCAACGAATTGGTTCTTCCTCGCTGCCGTCATCACGTTTCGGAAAATCAAGGACATCTTCCGAGGCGTTCAAACTTGGATCTTCAGAATCAGTCCCTGAAAGTTTCCAAAAGTGATAACAGGATTTTTTACAGTTTCGCTGTGATACTTTGGGAGCGGATATCATCAAACAAAATAGTAGAAGTAATCACCTAGAGATAGCCCAGAGCCTCCATCTCTTACGGGAAGAACACCAATTAGACCCTTTTCCTCCTTCTGCCAGAGCTCCTGCTCAACCAATTTCACACTGCATGAAAAAGCAAAATGAGGGAAACCGGAACGGGCAAACGAATTCCTTACGCAGTAGAGAAGATTAGAGACAGGAAAGATGAAGCAGACGGGAAAAGAATAGGAGTATCTTAGAGATGAAAAAAATAAAATACGCACAACCAAAAATGAAACAGAAAGGAAATTATTCCACAGGATGAAACAAACGTTTCCCAGAAATTTCAGGAAAATTCACGCCAAAAAATCAATCGTGTACGCGAATGAACTACCCCATTTTTTTCAGTTTGAATCGTATCGCTATTAAAAATACATGGTCAATCTCCTACACCGATAATAATTCAAGAAATTTCCAGTTTGTTTTCCATCAGCACAATCAACAAACGGGAATTAAATACAATTGAGCCCGCACCCAATCGTCGAGATTGATATGAAGCAAAAAAAGGCAAGTATCATCAGAGCGCCCCACCCCCCCGCCAACCTGGTTGGGGGAAACCAGGATACAGAAAGAGAGTAGTACCTGGACGCGGACGTGCACTCGACCCGGACAATTGCACCCGGCAGCAGCACCTTGTTCCTGAACGGTAGGATTCCCAGACGGGCGGGGATCCCGCTACCCTCACCCATGGCCCAGCGCAGCAGAGTCGGCAACCGGACGACGATCGGTTTTTCAGAAGCAAATGATGAGACAAGGAGAAATAATCAGGAACCCTTCCCCGCCCTCCCTCTCACACATATCCTATGGAACATCAAATAGTGGACACTTTGATAGCCTGGCGTACGATACGATACCCACCATTAATGACTAAATGTACCTTTTTTTCACAGCGGAAGGAAGAAGAGCGTGCCTGCCTGCGCTAGCGTTTTCCAGGAGGACCAATTTTCCAATGCCAGCCAGCTGAATTAAGGGTGGATTTGATTTGACAACGTCCGTGACAGCTTGTCCTCCCATGCTGGTCAGACCATCTCTAAGGAGGTTATCCAGTACAGTAGTAGTTATGGGCGAGGCGACGTGGGTGAGTCACGAGGCGGCCTCCTCTTCGGTCATCATGCTGACATCAAGATGACAGCATCGATACGAGGAGATTCCCCGCGCCGTTGTGTTTGACCAGCAGCTTATTCCGGTTCGCATGCTGGAAATAATAATAATAATAATAATAAATAAATAAAAATTTATTATCACCATCCTGACCAAGTCAACACCTCTTCGTCACACATCGTATTTTGCGATCAAGTAGATGTCAATCATGGCAAAATCAACATTGATACTGCTTGAAGAATCTTGTAAAAAGAATCAAGTTGAATTAATTCTCTGTAAAATTTCAACGTGAAGAACTATTCAATGTCATTCTTTGGTCATAAATATTATGTGGACATCCTAAAATGACTTTCATCCGAACTAGGAATAAATGACATATATTTTGCACCCATCATACTCAAAACTTTGTTCATTAATACCAAATTTAACCCCCTTATATGTTGATGCAACCCAAACCCTAAAGCCTACTATTGAAGAAGCCTTGAGCCTAATATTAATGCATCTTGGAGTCCATTACTGTTGCAGCTTAAAGCCCAGTATTAATGCACCTTAAAGTTCATTAATGTTACACCTTGAAGCCTACTTTACTTGATACACACTAAAGCTTATTATTGTTGCAGCTTAAAGCCCACTTTACTATCCAATTATGAAATTAGGCTCATATATTTATTTTTCTTATTATTTAATTTTTATTTGAAATTTTAATTTTAATTTTAAAATTCAAATTCGAAATTTTAATTCTTGTTTGAAATTTAAATTTATATTTGAATTCAAATTTCAGCCAAATTTTACTTTCAAATTTAGATTTCATTTGAAATTCAAATCTTGGCACCCAAATCAAAACTCTTTAGCCTATTTAAAGGTACCCCTTGTAACCCCAGAGGTATATTACTCTTTTTTCAATATAATTTTGTGAGTTTTCTTCTCTTGAAGTTCTCTCTTTTTGCTAGTGGACTCCAACACCCTATGGACTCAAGAAACTTGTTCTTGATTCTGTGAATTCAGAATCACCCTCTTATAAACTCAAGGGACTTGTCTTCTTTACCTTGTGGATTCAAAGTAAAAAGACAACCATTAAAGCATGTTTTTTGAGGATTCAAGACATGTCTTCAACCTCCACAACATCAAAGTTTGATCATAACTCGTTCAAGTCATTACCTCCTCAAGTTTCACTGCATCATATGTTTTGTACACATTAATTGATATGGCAGTATCGAAATTGATGGGTTTCATCAGCATATCTCATTTATTCAATAGATTTATGCCTATATAACTTTTGTTTGTCTTGTGATGATGAATTTAGGTAGGTACGGTATAGTTACATGCAAGCTAACTATATTATACTACTATTATTATGTTATTATTATTACTCAATAAAGGTCAAATTCTTCAATAATCAATGATGTTCATCCCTCGAAATAGAACACATCGTGTTGACTTTGCAAGAGCTTATTGTCACCAACCAATGTGTATTATTGTGGTTGACCCTAGTGTAGATATGGGCTGCCAAAATGTAGGTGTTGATTGGGTGATTATGAGGGGATACCCACTAACTTGGGAAGAACTTTCTACAATCTATTCTCCCTATTCGGGCCACACACACTGTGCAGAAACAATTAGCTGGAATGGGGCCTGATTACGACACCATTACTTGGTTCTTCATAAGTAGCTGTGTGACAACATAACTACTACGGCATGGGGAGCTTGTATAGTCATCTCTGTACACGTTCTGATAAAGAGTTTTTTCTGATTATCGTGATTTGGTTATTGCTAGGAGTGAGGGCACTCGTTATCATGATCCCAATCAATGCCCCACCATCTCCATTCATCAAGGTGTGCAGCTGCCATCTATTTGTTTCTCGTGCAGTCAAATCCAAGATTTCTTCAGCACATACCTGACCGCGTTGACTTTTCTTCAGCTCCTGCTTATTAGATGTGGGCTTGCTATCTTTAGATACACTTGACTCTTCTAATCAACAAGCTTTACGAGGTTGACCTAGTAGAAGTTTGTTTCAAGGCATCATCAGTCCTTCCGCTCACACTTGTTCATAAGCACCTATTTCCTCTTGCACTTGTTTGACCATTGGCAACCCCCTCCCCTTGTATGCTTGAAAGGACTTCCATCTTCAGCTACCATTTCATTTCATTTCATTACATTACATTACATCATGAAATCACAACTTTCGCTATGGTTTTCGTTCAAGTACCTTGTCTTTAGTTCATCGTGAAAAGTGGCCTTCCAGCTGAAATTAATCTTTTTTCATATTCTTTCAGCCTGATGCTAAAAGAAACTACCTTCAGAAGCACCTTTTTTTTTTTTTTAAACTTATTTGAGAGAATTCAGGACCCCCAATTGTTTATAGCTTCACACATCTAAATCCATATTTATCACATGGTTTTCATTTCCTTAGATTCATGGCACCACTAAATGCCATTAAGGATAACACTCGAGGACACTGGCACATGGTATTAACTAAAAGAACGTGGCCTTCTCATGTAACAAGCCTGTGCGAAAGCTTGCTCTCTCACGTGGCCTTTTTCTTCGTCCTTTACTAGTTCTCTGAAGCAGTTGGGTATAATTTTCGTCTGTGGACCAAAAGTCAAGCGCAGGGATAGCACACATTGGACATATATAGAAAAGGTTCCCAGGGAACCCCACAGCAAGCGCGTCAGTTGACATAACGACAGAAGTCGAGGAGAAATCTCAAGTTAAGGAGTTGCAGCTGCTCTCTCCTACGAAAAAAAAAAAAGGGTACACAGAAAGAGAGAGAGAGAGAGAGATGTACAGACGTCCAAAACGACAGAAAGAGAGGATCACTCGAAAGAGAGGTTGCATGGCCCAGATTAATCGGCAGCAGATGTACAGAAACCTGCATACTCGGCGGCTGCTCCTCGTCCCGACGTCCAAAACTCCGACCAGCACCACCACCACCTCACTCCCATGGCGCACTCTCAGGCCATCCGTTTGAACAGCCAAGGGCTCTGTTGTAATCCTTCACTCGACCTCCATGGGGCCACCGACATGCGGTGCCCATTTCGTGCGGGGGGGTGCGGCACGGGGCGCTCACTCCAGACCACACCGGGCCCCCGCAGTCTCACACCATTGCCTCCTGAGATGGCGCAGCCAAACGGGCGCGGGCGGCACCAGTAGGCCCCCTTCCTTCTTTCTTTCTTTCCTTGTATCTTTTCGTCCATCATATCTGTGACCGCCACAAGGTCACGGCTCTAGCTGGTGTAGTGCAGATTCTGACTGGGAGAGCCCTGGCTCTGCTGCGGCTGGGGGGACGGGGTGCTGTACTGGGTGAAGGGCTGGGAGTAGAGAGGGTTCATCATGCCCTGTGAGAGGAGAACATTCGCCGGTGGTGACGTGGGTTGGTTCTCTTCGGAAATTTTCAAAGAACGGGATCGATCTCTGTGAGTGGAGGGAGGAAGAGGGGTACCTGAGACTGAAGGAGTGCCTGTCCAGCCACGCCAAAATGGGACTGGGAGGAGTCGTCCTGCGAGGGATCATTGAAACCCACCTGGGTGAATAAACCCTGCGCCCTGCCGCGAGGCATGTAATCCTGGAAAAAATAAAAAATAAATGGTGGTGCCATTACTACGGCCAGAGCTTGCTTGTGTGGAATGACATCAAACCGTACTATACTTACAAGGGGCATCATATTATTAGTGATGTGCTACTATTATTGTTACCTGGGAGATGAAATCATTTCCGGGGGTGCCCACTTGGGAATAGCCCGCTTGAGAATTTTGGTTCAGGAAGCCCCCCACAAAGCCACCACCCTGTGTTCCTTGAGTGGCATAGTCGACACCGTACCCGCCGCCGCCTTGAGAGGCCTGAGAAAAAAAAAAAAAAAGAAAGCAAAAGATTGAGTACTTTTTCATAGCATCCATATATTTATTATCAGACGACGCTTTAGATCGACCAAACTCGAAATAAAATGCCACCTGTGTCGAGAAATCGGCAATGTTGTAGGCAACGTGAGATCCCTGGCTTTTGAAATCATCTCCTAGGAAATCCTGAGATACATACAGCAATTAAACTATATAGGACGGGAAGAAATAGAGCAAAAAACTGGGGCTTGTCAGAGAAATAGAGCAAATACCTGTGACATTCCTCCCATGGAGAACCCATCTCTGAAAGGTTGCCCAAGACCTTGAACTGGCATCTATCGCGGACAGTAACCACCACAAGAGAGCATTTAAAAAAATTTAAAAAAAAAGAGAGAAAAAACATCCGGATGAGATGTGGCCTAAAAACAGGCTGAGATGTACGAGTGTGATATTAATAAATACCTGGGTCATCAGACCTCCAACAGAAGGCTGGGAATTTGAGCTGTCCAGAGGGAAATTGAAGGCGGACCCGAGATTGCCCAAAGCATGTTGAGAACCATCCGGATGTGAGAGATGACCCCCAATATGGCCACCGGCGTTCCCTCGCCCAGTTCCAAAGCCCCTGGTCCCTGACGAGGGGACCTGAGGAACAGCTCCAACGGGCCCGTGAATCGCTCCTCTAGTGGGAATGGCGTACGGTTGAGAGTGTGGCCCAGCAGGGAAGGGTGGAAGAGGAATCCTAGGTAACGGGTACCCCCCTCCAGGGTGCACACCAGGCTTTGGCACACCATTGGTTTGGCTGAACTGCATTTGACCTGGATAGAACAACCGTTTAGAGTAAAGATCTAAGATAACATAGCTATTTCACCCACCCTCACAATGGGCTGAAGTTGAATCACAAAAGAATGAAAATTGAGGCATAAATGCGCGCCCAAGGATGCTTGGGTTAAGTTTTCACACATTGTTGATATAAAATAAAATCAATAAGGGGAAAAAGAAATATAGCATACCTTTGCTGCGTCCACCTCTCCTATCAGCATTCGGACTTGGTGAACTGGCTGGACCAAAACTATCAGAAGCCACAGGTCCTGGCCCATTCCCAAAGTGAAATCTACGATCGCTATATATCTGTTTGATTGAAGATGCAACGAAAGCAAGTTCAAAGCGAGATTTCACTAATCATTTGCTGAAATCCGCAACACATGTCCATGACACTACATTGGAAAAACTCGTGCACAAAAGGTGACGTCGGATGAAAACGATCGATTTTGTCAATCCTACCTTTTTTGGCTTCTGAAATTGTACCATACTCTGCTTCAAGTTGTTTAGAGGTCCCTCCACCAAGCATTCATGTTCCTATCAGAAGAATTTCATGCTCATCAACTACTGCACAGTATTTAAATGCATCGGCATCCATGCTCTACAGAATCGGGAAAAAAGAAAACAAGGAATACAGAGACTTTCCTACAGACGAATTTGATGCATTATCCTATAATTTCAAACAATCTATAAACATAAAACTCAGATAAGAGTTTTGAATCATGTCCTTCCAAATCTAACGTAAATCTTACCAGAAAAAAATAGGTGTTCTGGAAACTCCCGGACAAGACATTTCATGGAGCATGATTCTTGAAGCCGTACATCACACACATGACTTCACACAACCTCATATAAGTAGTAGTACTGGTAAATAATCATTAATTTTCAGTTTTATGATAATCTCAGCCCAGACTCAAAATGTCAAGTGGCCAACAAGATCAGACCTAAAAACTTTTACTTCAATCATCTGCAACTTAATCCATTGTAGAACAAATCCAACTACGAATGTCAATGGCCCTTCAAATAGTCACAAGCATTCCAACCTTGTCATAGCTTGGTTATGAAAGGTACCGCTCCAAGAAGCACATCATCATTTCCATAAAGAACTTAATCTATAAGAGAAATATGGGAATTCTTTGAAATAAGTGAACCGTAACACAATTGCAAAAGGTAAATATTTTATAAAAAAAAACCAGGCTCAAAGGCAGGGATTGTGTTATAAGTTTCAACATTATAACAATTCTTCATTTGAACGATAGCCTCACATGTAGATCTGCAACACTTTGTACTGAAATAAACTAGCCAACTTAATTCACAAAGAAAAATGGCAACGACCAAATAGCATCCATGTAACCCACATCTACAAAGTACTACTTTGAATCCCTACAAAGGCAGCCCAAGGTTACATGAGGAAGATCAAGTAGGAAACATCTTGCCTCACCAAGTATTATTTCCATTCTTTTTCCCATTAGTTAAACCCAATTTCTTCAGGAAATAGTAAAACCGTCCTGGTCAATGTCAATAGGTCAAGGGACCACTGCTTTATGGCATAAAAATTGCCGCCAAGTTCCCAAATAATACAAACAGCTGACTGTCTCTTTCTGTAAATATGATCAAACAATTTCAGCTAGTTCAACAGTTCACTCACTGACAACCTGATCTTCCCAGAAGCCTCACCAGCGGACAGTAAAGATACCACAGGCCTAGCAAAAATTACTATTACTAAAACCATCCAAATCCTTCGTAAAAAAACCCTAATAGGGTGCGGGCATAGTAATCCAAGCCTAATAGAAGACAGATTACGCCTCAATATTGTGTTCCTACAACATCTCAACCCCTTAAAAAAAGGCTTTGGTTGGTCGAATCACAAAATCTCATTACTCCGATACATTCTTTCAATCAAAATGCCCTGAATCCTCCATTCACAATAAAAATCACCCGATCCCTTCAACCACAAGTTTAGAATGACAACATAAATCAAACAACCCATTCCATTCCGTTTAGGTTAAACGTAGAAATTTTCATAGCCACGACATAAGCATCATTTCCCTTGGGAATTATCATCTACCAGATGCTCAGCAAGATGTAAAGGTTTTATTATAAACCCTTAGTGCCCTCTCTTAATACATGCTCCTAATATAATTCAGTAGATACTCAACAAGATGCTATTCATTTGCACCCAACAATACTAAAATTGCAACCCATATCCACATTTATGGCCTCGTCAAATTGAATGGAATACTCGCACACATTTATTAAAAGCACAATGCACTGAAATAGTTAGACAGTGAGTATATGAATCATCAGGAATCCTGTATAATTTGGCTGGTCTAAACTACAGAAACTAAATGAAAAGATAAGAGAGGCAGAATAAAATGTCCCCATCTCGGACAAATGTATTCGCATGGAAGTAATGCATTGAAATAGCCTCTAGCATAAGGGAATCGTCCTCCACCAGAATGTCCTCAAGGTGAAATATTTTATACCACAACACATGAGCTCTAGTTATATAACCACGAAATTAGCTGTGTGATGAAACTCCACCTAAACAGCTTTGCATAACCTAGGTACTTTTGCGACCACAACACATTTTGCGACCTTCACTTTTCTTAAACAGCTTTGCATGGCCTAGGTACTTAAAGATGGTTCACCTCTAGGTGACAAGTCCTTTAACCACCATCGCACAACCAGCTCCTTACCATTAAGACATATCTTCCACTTCAAACCTAAATTAGTCTACAATTAACTAAGAGGTTTAAATTTCAAATAACAGCTCCAGATTGCTAGAAAAACTGTTCGATGTGCTGCTAATTAAACATGAATATTTTTGAGCATTCAGAATCAATCATAGATCAAAATTTTTACTCCAGTTTATAAAAACGTTTTTCATACTGACACTGATTGACCCGAAAATCAAAATTCCTCTATTATATATATATATATATATATATATATATATATCAGTTCTACTTTACATAAACATGGCCAATGAAAAAGGGTTCAACAATAGAAGAAAACAGAGTATAAAGTTCGCTCACAAGTCACGGATAAAATGCTGTCTAAAATTTAAGCCAACATACCTTGTAGTGTGTGAGCAAACTATTCCACAATGGCTGTTTACTTAAGACTTTTGGATTTCCCAAGATTACGATGCCATAACGTGCACGAGTAAGTGCAACATTTAACCTGCGCGGGTCATTAAGGAATCCAATTCCCTGAAAAGAAAAATTATAAGATGGTAAGCACTGTCAGCCAAAGAGATGAAAGGAGTAATTGAAATCAATTGTGATAATCAACACAGGCCCACCATACGAAATCTGGCAGATTAACCAAAACAAGAGAAAAATAAAGATCATGGAATTTCCGGGTGACGCCCCCAAACTGTGATACATTTACAGAAAATCATACAAGTAGTTCCTACGACAACATATATAGTGACCAATTGATGAAAAAAGTCGACGAAAACAATGGCTTAATAAAAAATTCATCACCACATGATTATTCATAAGATACTGAAACATAATAAATTCTACAGCACAAACGAAATGTCCAGCAAATACTACAAAAGTATCATGTTCATCAACAACTAAACACCTAAGCCACAGTATAATGATTATAAAATATTTGAAGGAGAAAAAGATTACTAGGCGAATACATTGACAGAATCAGTGAAAATGACCCAGGAATAGATAAAAACTAACTCACTTGATGTTCATTACTTCTCACACATGATAAAATAATGTAGTCTTTTTCCCTTCCCTGAAATGAATCGACACTTGCAACCTGCAAAAGAATATTAAAAACTATACTGAAGGGCGCGGTATTACAAACAACCAGTACCAAAAATTCTACATAGACGGGAAGTAACCTCAATCTCTTTATAGAGTTGCTGTCTTAGAGCACCATTTCTTGACATATAGTTAACTATATAGGCTCTCTGTCCCTCATAAGGTGTAATAACTCCGATCTGAAAATTTTAGAAGCAAGAACATGCATATGAAAGAACCAATCTAACAAACAAAAAATAAACAACCAATATGATATGAAAGGGGTACCTGACTGGGAACAACACCACTCCTCAAAAATGTCGTAACAATTTTTTCCACATTTGCAGCCTCAGTCCTATTCAGATAGGAAGTCCCACTAGCACTTATCTCCTCTTGTCCCATCTATAGAAGAATGTTGCTTTAGTAAAAACATGCAGTAAAAACATATCTGATATCGTATGAAGATCATCACTCCACACGAACTCTTTATTGATAAACCAATAGTTACCTGGACATAGAAAAACATTGGACGATTTGGTACTGGCCAAGGAAAGTCAATGCCAGTTGATTGTCGTTCATTAATGGTAACACCATTTTGAAGGGTTCCTTCATAGAAGCTGTTGGAAGGAAATTCTGAGAGAGAAGGATGCATGCGATACTGGACCTGCAATTTTAGGCTTGCATATCTATTAATAATAAATGAATTTCATAAAAGTACAACATTTAATTTCTCTAATGAAAAGAAGTTCTCAATCAATAAATTCATAGCACATCACCTGTAGTCTGATTGGCTTCAACCCCAGCAGGACAAGACGCTCAAAGAGAGACTGAGCTAGGCCAGCTCGGGCAGCTTTCTTACACATGATCACCGGACCAAGTTGGCAATGATCCCCAACGAGGACAACCTTATAAAAAAATGATTGTTAGAATAAATTTATAGAACAGATCTAACAATACAAATGTACAAAACTGAGATATTACCTGTTTGACTCCAAGAACAAGTGGAATAAGGCACTCAGGCTCTGTTGACTGAGTGGATTCATCAATCAGAACCTATGGAAAAAAGAAACTACAATGAGACAAAAATCTCGCGAGCAGAATCAGACTAAATTAGACCATTTATAAACCTGGCGGAAACGGAAGTTTGACAATCGAGGATCCCCAGCCCCAACACAGGTGCAACAAATAACATCAGCACTCTGTAATATTTCTCTTTCAGTCGCACGTTTCAGGGACTTGTATTTTTTCTCATCACTGCTTGATAACTCTCCTGCAATAATGTATGATACCAAAATTATATGCAAACGAATTAATTGACTTCATTGCCTGGTTAGTGAACTTCATTGGAGATGGAGAGAGAAAGAGAGAATGTTTTGTGTGATAATTATCTACTCAAACGATACGGAATCACCTTTTCTATTTAATCACATGTTTCATTCACTTGAATAGTTGTGTCCTTCAAATTGATGTAATATTTATACTTTTCAAATAACAGGTTTCTTTGTTCATTGTTCAAAACAAACTAATCACTATTTAAAACTGCTTAGGCCAGCCAAAAATATGAGGAAGAGCTAAGAACTTTCAACTTAAACACATTTAAAAAACATTCGAGACTTCTATGATGAGACGCCAGAAGCAGATATCATGCCCCCACAATTAAAAAAATGAGGAAAAAAGTGCAAAAGTTTGAGAGCTATTCAAGGCAATAGAGAATGCATATTGCATACCTTGTTCATCCTTCAGCAGCTGAAGTTTATGGAGTTCACTCTTTTCAGACGTGTCAAGATGCCGGACCTGATATTTAATTGATAGCAGAATTCAGGAAAAATGACCTCACATCAGTCACTTATCAAAATAAATTGTAATGAGATGAGGAAGAGAGGACTAACCTGATAGTGAAGAGTTAAATGCTCAACAGGAGAACTGACCGCTTCTCTTGACTTAGCACAAAGTCTGACAACCTGAATGAAGGCTCATCATATTGAAAATCATTTGCTATGTAGTGAACACAAGTTGCTAAAAAAGAAAATCCATGGAACCAACAATGAATGAAAATGCTTAGTGCGTAAGAAACTTAAAATTGTAATCTCCCAAAATTGACCCACCACGCAGTGTCCATGCTATGTCCTTTGCAGTAAGAAACTATAATAATATTATTTTATTCCTTTCATTTAAGATATAACCATAGAATTGGTCTTCTCATCAAACAACCAATTGAATTTTAAATTGCAATTACAACTTTTAAAACGAAAAAGGAACATAGAGAAAGATCCTTGTATTCTGCTGTTCCACCCAAATAACTTATATTTATCTTCGTGTAAAAGGCTGCTCCTTCAAAACAATTTTATATCCTGATTGTCAAAAGGTCGTACACGTACAAATACTGCATTTAAAATCAAAAGATAAATCGTTAGACTGACAAACGGGAATTCCTATCATTTCTTCCGCAGTCAGTCATTTAATACGCTATGTCGTAAAAGAACATTTTCCAATCTAGAACATTACAAGGCAGCTGTTACTAGTAACACTATAACACAGTACCGTTACACGTTCACAAGAATACCCCTAGCAAGAATGTGAGACTACATATATATCCTTTAGCCCACAGCATTCACAAATAATCTTACATCTAACTAAATTTTTCCCTTATGTGGAAATAACAGTAAAATCAAAGACTGACATTTCTAAATTAATCTTTTTACAAACAACAATGAGAAAGCAAATCATAAATTTTAACGAAACCATACATTGTCAAACAGAGACTAAAAGAGTGGAGAAAGAACAGCTTCTTGTAGGAGATCATGTAAAATAAATCAATAAGCAAAAAAATCATCCAGGAAAACAATAGAGAGGGTTGGTGCACCTAAGGGTTGAAGATCAAGCAAAAGACGAAAAACCAGAAGATCACCTTTAAACCAGTTGAGCTAATTTTCTCTGAGAGTTGGTCAACAGCTACATTGCTTGGAGCACAAACCAAAACCTTAATAATGAGATAAGTGACAATAAGTTCCATGTTTCGTATAGGAAAATATTAATAATGAGTCTGCTACTACCTGGCCCTGGCCTTGTTTTGCCATGTGATAGACAATTGCTGCAGATGTGACGGTCTTTCCTGTGCCAGGGGGACCTTGTATGAGACTAATTGGTTTCTGAAGCACACTCTTAACGGCAAAGACCTGTCCACAGGAAAAGGACAACAAATTGACCATAACATCAATGACGAGGCTAGTTACATGAAAATAGATGCCAATAAAAGATGTATTTCCCCAGAACATCAAGGATCGGCTATCTCGACCTAAATAATTACAAATAATTTCCTCAAGTGACCTAGGATTGAGCAGGCTTTTGGAACAATACCGAACTGTACTAGTCAACATTACAAAATTCCAAAATATTGTACAACATTTCGAATTTGACCAACCTGAGACGCATTGAGTTCTGGAAGGCCTGGGGCACCAAAGCGACGTGGCAATGCATTGCGCACTATTTGAGACTCAACTTCATGACCTAACAGATGATGGTATATGTATCTGAAAGAGAGCATATGTAACACGTCTGAATCAAATAAGAATATGTAACACATTAAGGATTTTATGGTAAATCAAATAAATTTCGCATATCTGACTCAGTCAGAAATATGTAAGGTTAGATCTGAATAAATTTCTTAAAGAGACTTCAAGGAATCAGCAGACAAAATCGATAGTAAGATATATCCAACATGGCAGAAATCACAGCAATCAAAAAATTTGAGCAGATTTAGCACCCGGAAGTCAAGATTGGTAATCTACAAAATCAGCTAAGATGCTGAGGGTGATGCATATGGAACAACTAATGAAACGTGAATTGCTTATGGTAGAACAAATATCTGGGTTTTTGGATCCAACATGAATGTTCTTGAAAACCATAAGCAGATGCATTTCCCTTCTTAGCCAAAGGTTCATCTGAGATAATGTTAGCAGTTGTGAGAGATATACCAATAAATAAGACCACACGAGAGCACACAACTCATCATCTTATTCTCATATCACCCATCTACTGACGTGATAACAAATTAATGGTGTATTAGAGAGAGAAAGTCCAAATAACATATAGGAAATCCTGAAATTCTGTCTCTGACTCATCATTCAAAGCCCAACAACATTTGAAACTCACCCACTAACACTTGTCTCGTCCACAGCAAATGTCTTCATTGCACCCTGCATTCTATCAAAGCTGGTACTCTTCCACACAAAATCTACGCTAAATCCATGGTTCAAGTCAACAGGAACACCCTGGAACCAAAAATACAGTTCGTAATCAATGGTGAACCGAAATATCACAGTACCAAGAAGCAAATAAGTTCAATCCTACCTGATTTGCTCGGAGCTCTAGTGCAACCTCTTCCTGAGCAGTTAGTTTAATCTGAAAACAGAAGAGCAAATAATCAACGCAACTAAGAAAAATGTCTGCGTAGCTGGATCTTGGATGATTGACTATAATGGTGCTCTGATAACCAGCAATAAGGTAGGAATACTAACCACATGCCCCACAGATTGCCATGCAGGATGAGCTGCATCGCCAGAGTATCTTAGCCTCAATTCATCTCCAGGAACAAGCCTTAATTCGTTATCCTCCTGAGAAATTATAAAAATTAGATTGGGACAGATTATCATCAACGCCATAGAAAGAGGCAAACGTTATTAAACAGGACGGGGATTGAACATTCTAAACCATTAACCTTTGGAAAGACGAAATAAGCTATACGCTTCTTGTTCAAGCCAATGTCCCAACGTATTGTCAGATTGTCCTTGCTCTGAGATTCTTTCATCATCTAAAGATAGAAATAAATATGTAATCCAACCGATTAAACAACAAGACAACAAAATTGTACAAAAACATTAAAAGTAAAGAATAACGACTCACCTTATCATAATCGGCTTCAAGCTTTACAAGAGGAGCAAATACATTTTGGTACTGCACAAGGAAATAGTTAATATGCCACCAAATACTATTTATGACCCAAAAATTACAGTTGTTTCAAACAAGACAAACAAGTTAGCACAAAGCCTGAAAATTTTGGGTTTCTTTCATGCAGAAGATAGTGGTACGCGAAATCCTTACCTGGTATGCATCTTCATACTTCAAGACCACAGGCTGAGGTTCGTCATCAACACCAGGCTTTTCAAGATCCTCCAGAGTTGCATCTGGATTCATCTTCCAAAGCTCCTCTACCCTGTTTATCTGCTGAGCACTAATTTGGCGTGCTCTGAGTTGCTCCTGCTCCGAAGGAATCTGAGCCAAAATTCATAAAGTCAATAACAAAACAAGGTACATGATTATATCAGTCAAAGAAATACAAGAGAAATGAAGACCTTGACAAGCCACTGTAGGAAACACCTATCGTCAATCAAAGGGCACCACTGGCTCAAATCCCAATTCATGTCTTTCAATGCATTATTACTCAAGCAAGGTTCTCTGCACAGAAGAACAACAACACTCTCCGTTTTGGCAGATATAAAGCCAAGAAGGAAGACATTGCGGCAACCACAGTTATAACATTCGAGAATTGTTTCCCCCAGTGGACTATCCTTATGCAGGCAAACTTCCTTATGTTTTGCTCGAACCTGTCAGAAAATTGAAAGCAGGAACATAAGTGCATTTAGAGAATGGTTGAATGAACCAAAATAAAACTACCTTAATTTTCAGCTCACATTTTAATGAAAGGAAAATATATCCAAACTACAAGCATAAAAATAGATGGATCAAGCATGGAATTATTCTTAACTAAAATTTAGATCAGTTCTCCACTACAAGGTAATTGGAAAATAAAATAAAATACAATTTTTGATCAAGAAAGAAAAAGCAATCTATCATTAGTTTTGAATGGTGGGGTCATAATAAAAAGAAGCTAAATAAAAAGAGAAGTACACAAGATAAAAGATAGGCATTAAAAGTACATTAAAAAAGATGCCAACATCCACCCAGAAAATTTTAAATACCTAAAAAGAAAACGCTAGATAGAATTCAGCGAGATGCTAAATCAAGAATGCATTGAGTTCAAGCAAGAAAAAATGCTGAAGCACTAGTTGAAATCCTGAATCCGAGGGAACAATTTGTAATCATCTAATTAGCTCCAACACTCTACCCAACAGAGCTGGCACCCTTGAAAAGTGATCCTAAGCGTAATTATAAATACTCTGAAATTTCTTCTGGCCTCTTTTCTTCTAGACTGCCCAGTGCATTAGGAAAAAGATATTCTCCACTTCTTAACTATTCAGCTGTTTAAGCAACCATTCATGATGATACAGCAGAAAGTTCACGATTTGAAGACAATTTCCCATAGACCTGGATCACACCGCAACTGACAGCTGTCTAAAAAAACCATCTTCCAGAACTACCAAAGAATAAACGATTAAAAGACGTCTGAAACCTGAAGTATCTAAATTCGTGACTATTTGGAAATCTTTCAAGTGCCGGCTTCCAGAAAAAAATCTGACTTTAATTCACATTTAATATCTCCTACAACGTCATTATACAAAACTCCACACCTGTGATGATTTGTAACAAGATTTGGCCAATAAAGTTCGCCTTGTACATCCATCTCCAAAACTTTCCGCCTTCCACAAATGGTTAAAATGATATCTAAACTGGAAAATCCACCTGATTAATTCCCAACGTGGCTGGAACAGATTTGACACATCAAAAATTCAAAGTACAGCCAGAATCCGATATCCATGCTTCCAACCTTAAAATAAGAGATTGCCATTAAAAGTTTTATTGACTCACTGTTTTCTCCAAAAAAAAAAAAAAACAGCATTCCACGGAACAATATCACACTTCACTGTAACATGCATTGTTCAGTCTCCAAAAGCAACAAAACAGCACTTCCCAGACGGACTCCATTAATTCTCCTTGATTATGGATGTGGTGTAACCTGCTTTTTTCTTTCTCATTTCCTACATTTTATTAATACTTTTGTACTATGATGTACAAACTCCCTACTCATCACGCAACCAAGAAATATCTTGTGAGACCATTTCCAAAAATTCAGCCCTGGAAGTTAAAATCAGATACAGGATTTATTTCTCCTCTTGGTACTGAAAAAGCTAAAATTCCATGAAGCTATTTATGTATCAGATTTTGGAACAACAAGAAATGACTACCCGACTAAATAGATAATAATGTGAATTTTAATATGCTACACATGCAAGAATAGGTCACTATTGTCCATGAGGTGTATGCCTCCGACAAGGCCCCATTGTTCCATAAACTAACTGAAAGCACATTAACGGAGCTCTTAACCTGAAAAGAAAGAAAACCCCGACATATGAACACAGTGGGCATTGCAAACCACTAAAAACATTGGACTCATATCGTCAAACAAGTGCAATGAAAATCCATTTTTCTTTGCTAGCAACCACATAATTATGAGACATTATGCTCTATGCAGACGCGAATCAGTTTTAAATATCTTCGATTGATTAGTCTAAATGATTACCTAAATACCATAAAATAACGTCCTCTACTAAAAGGGTCATAAAAACAAGCAACTAAACTTATTCATCCAACAATATTGAGTAATCATGAAATAAATGTAATCAACTTGCAAACCTTTCAACATTTTCTTCATCCGCGCATTAAGGATTCCTATACGAAAACCTTTAGATATGTTTTCAATTAACGTATCCATGGGGCCCCAAGTGCAGAGAAATAAAATAGAGTATGTTGACCTGCCAAGTTACCCACATCATCATGTTGGGTTTGTATTTTCATAAAGTTCGGGGAAGATCAGCACAGGCATGGTCAACTTACGAAATGTTCCAGATTTATTTAGCCTAACGAGTTGAAGCAGCTACTCTCTGTTCGAACGTTGGGAAAATCATGGTTTGGACAATGGAAGCTCATATTCATAGGAGACCTTGCTGATGAGAAAATGGAAGAGCTAGAGGAAGATGAAAATTATGGTGGGTTGGTACGAAGCCAAACAAAAAGATCACATTTTCTAATGGGACTTCGAATTGTCGACGGAAGAAACTCAGCCGGAGTCCCAACATTCCACCCATCATCTTTATAGCGCCATATCCAATTTTTAATGTGTATCTTCGAAGAAAATCACAAATTCAGTTCCTTCTGCTAGACGGCGCGTTGAACTTTAATTAAATTTAGAAAGACAACACTAATCAACCAGTACTACAAAAAATGAGGCCCAGAAGATAATAACACGACGTGAAAGCTTAAGTTTCCAGTTTTGGTCGATAGCAAACAAACCAGGTGATTAACGATGTGCGACCCTGAAGTATTCCCTCGGGAGTTGCAGAACCATTTCCGGCACGATGGCATATTGCATCTGACAACGCAGGCTGGGTTCGCAACACCACAGTACCGGCACGCGTGTTCTATAAAGTCTCCCTTCCCACCATGCTCGTAACTGCCTTCATCTTCGCCACCCGTCTCCTCAAATGTAAGACCCCCCATTCCCGCTGCGAGCACGTCCACGGTCGCAGAAGCTGTTAAGGACGGGGAACCACCAGCCCTTCCCCCTGCTGAGGACGATGAGGACGCTGAGCCGACAGCCGAAGAGGACGGACCGGCGACGGCGGCCGTCGCATTCCCAGGTGCCCGCCCATCCGGCGAGAGTAGATCCGACGACGCGGGGCGGATCGGCTGGGATAGCTCCTGGAACTCGGTATAGTCGAACTCCTCGTCGCCCTGGGTATTGAATTCGAGGAAGGTGTAGGCATCTCCTCCGGTGTCCGGCTGCGACGCCGTGTCGTAGAGGTTCGGAACCGCCGACTGCGCTGCCATGGCCTAGGGTTCCGCTTGCGCTGGCCGGCCGAATACGCCTAGGGTTACTCCTGCTAGGGTTTAATCCGGGAGTGAGAGGCGTGCGGGAGAAGCAAGGAGATGACGGAACGGGTCACACCATCAAATGGAGTCCTGGCAGGCCTGGAGAAGACGGGAGGTATATATAGGAAGGGGATATAGCCAGGAGTGGACTGGGGGAAGTCGGTGATTTCTCGCGGCATTTCACTACGCCTACTCGTGGGTCGGACAAACTGAACCGTGTGATCGTAATCCAACGGCTCTAGTTAAATTTTGTATTTCTCATATGATTCATTGATCAAGTAAAGCGTCCATCTAAACATGATCCTTGGAAGATTATCACTGAATGGTCTCAAACCTGTGAATAATTTAACCTGCATTTCTCACCACCTTCCTCTTCATTTTAACTAATATAAACTATTTACTGCATAATTCGTGCTCTATTTTTGTCTATTGAGATCACTCTTTACTGCATTCATTTTTCAAGAACACCTCCCCTTTAGATTTTATTAATATAACACTAGTGATTATAAGGTTCAAGTCTCTTCAAATTTCAACTTAAAATCCTCACCTAGATCCATGATGACTTAATTAAAGTTGATTGTATCAATGTCTTTAGTGATTAAGATAAAATTTAATCATAAGTTTATTCCACAAAACATAAAGAAACAAACCACCAACAATTTTTCTAGAAGAAGATGTATAATGGAAGAAAACTTAGCCGTTGAAATCTGATTGAATGAAGTGATGAAAGAATCAAAATTGCTCTTCTACTCATTGTCTTCACATTGTTTCACGCGAGAGTCGATTTTCTACTCAAATTCGTTAGGAATTTACTTCAAAAATGATTATAATAAAGACAAGATGTAGTACAATGAGAGATGAGTGTTCTTGAACAATTTAGCCACTAAAAAGGGTTTAGTTTCATAGAGAATAATGCTATGGTCTTCCTCTACTTTACTCCATTTTAATGATTTTGATTTCTAAAATAAAAATGAATTTGAGTAGTTGTAAAGTAAGATGATACATCATTTAATAGTCAAAGTGGCGTCTAAATTTAAATCAATAAATGTGATCATCAATGTATTTATTATAGTGTATTTGATAAGAATCCATTAATGTTAAAATGTTATTGTAAATACATATGAAGATACAGCAATGATTTAATATTAAATTTTATCTAAATCATGAATATAAAGTAGACACATTGAATCATGATTTCAATATGAAAAATCATTACTTCGATGACTTATGAAACTTGTGTATCATTTTAAAACTAGTATTCACCAATATTCTAAATTCATGAGTTGCCATTTAACCAATTAATTTAACGCTAAGAATAGTTAGAAGTAATAATTTTGTATCAAGATCATCTAGTAAGCTTTATAATTTGAATTTACTTCAATTATTCTCATTGATGATAATGTATTGAACATTACTTTACATTAGCGGTAGTCTCTATAAATATCGATACTTTTTGAGATAATAAGTATAGTTGTAACCTTGAGTGGTAAAATGAACTGAATTCTAAAATTTAAAAACATAAGAATAAAATATATTATTTGTATTTTTATTTAGATATTTAATGCTTTTATTTTTATTCTTTATAAATTTATACTTAACTAGTTCAATGCTCATGTCTATAAGATTATTTATTCTATTTTGATGTCTAATGAGCAAGTAGTATTAATATTATTTAAATTTTAGGTTGCACTTTGATAAAAAATGGGGGTTGAATTGATCAAATTCTCATTGAAACTTTGATCAATTATGTCTAAGATCATTTCATCCTCAATTCTATGATATTTTTAGATCCAAATCTTAAAGAGAAAATATTTTAATAGTGATTCGGCTCCCTACCTATGTGTAATATTCAAGAATATTGTATTATTGAGTTCTACTAAACCAAATATTTAGAAATTACAACAATTGATTACTAAGCTCAACTCTCATCTAATTATCTCAAAATTCTATTTTAGATTCATAGCTCTATGATATCCATGACTAATTATAGGGATCAACTCTTTTGATTGATTACATCAGAATTTAATCACAAGTTTTTCCCAGAAAGGTAAGAAATAATTTCATTATGGGCATTTTTCAAATGAATCCATTGACTTAGAGTGTGTCAAAAAAATTGATAAATAAGATAATCATAGGTTGATTTTTACTGACGTCTTCAAAATAAGATGTTGGGTGATAGTTGAAGGCATTGTTTCCTCAATTTTGGTTGAGGGAGGTTATGTATGCCTTAATTTTTGTTTATAAACTTTTTGCCTTCTTCCTATTCGACATAATTAGAAAGACCACTCAAATTATCATAATTTTAAATACATAAAATGTTAGCAAGAAACTCAAGATAGCAAATGATTCAAAGCTAATCATTCAAAAGTAATTAACCATTATAGAAGTACTAATTTTTAATGAAATATAATACAAAAACTTCTCCTATTTTCCACCTTCTCAATGTTAACTCTAAATTAGTTATAGAAAATTTGAACATTTAGAAAGCCAATTCAACACAAGTTCTAAGGGTTAAATATTTTTTAAGAGAAACGATTACATATTATTGTTAATCACAAACGTATATATCACAAATTTAACAAATTTAATATGTTTCTTAAGAGTTTATTATCATTGAAATTGAATCAATAATACACCTTTAAATGCAATAATGATTTCTCACTTGAACTAATATAAATCACAACAAATAAATTTTTAATGTCAAATATACATGTTTAGTCATAATCTCAATATGTAAAATCATAGCTTCGATGCCATAGGATAATTTAAGGTTAATGTCTCAATGATATTAATTAATATTTTATAAAATATTTAGTGGCACTATAATTAGTTTGAATTCAATCAATTCATTCAATGTCAAGAACACTATAATTAGTTTGAATTTAGCATCATGAGTATCTACTAGACTGAATAAAATTTCATACTCATATTTTATTAAAACAATTTGTTGATTGTGTAATAATTGCTTTATGAAAATTTTAGTTTTTATAAATATTAATAATTATTTAAAAAATTTAAGCATTAAAGTGAATGAAGTGTGTTCCTTAAATTCCTATTTTGATATTGACATTTTTACTTTGAAGTTTTTATGAATATGTATTCAAATAAATTTATGTTCTTATCTAAAAGAATAATTCATCATATTTCGTACATAATGAGCGGTTAACATAATTTGATCTATTAGTTAGTCTTATTTGTACTTGTTAATCATCAAAATATTCTTCATTTAATATTATAACAATATACTCCTATTTTGGTGATAATAGAACTATAAGAACAAGTCATGGAGGCAAATCAATTATACTTACTATAAAAATAAGTTTGAAATTTATAGCAATCAATTTATAACAATATCACTTGTTTCAATTGATGTTTATCAAAAAATATATATTTAAATAATCTCAATATTTATATCATTCAAATAATAAATTTGTAAAACAAATTTCTATTGAGTTTTAGGTCACACTAAGATAAAAAAAGAGGATTCATGATTTAAAGTGGTTCTACTTATCAACTACATCCTCCACTCTCCAAGAATAAATATTATTCTTTGGCTCTATTAATTAATGATCATTTTAATCACAAATCATTGATTACTAGGCTCAACTCTCATTTCATTATGAAATTCTCTTCTAGATTCATGATTCTAGGAGACTAACAATTGTTTAGTAAGATAGTTACTACACATGATTAATTGAATACTTACTTTCAAGTTTATTATACTACAAATATCAAAAATATCATTGTGAGATGATTTTGGAGAATAATGTTAATCTAGAATTTGTCCAAAATTCTAATGAAGAAAATGATGATCATCTTCTCATAAAGAAACTAATTGGAGATAAAACTTGTTGGCTCTTTGATCTGGTCAAGGATGATTGTTGAATGCTTAAATATTGCTCATTAACACAATGTCATCATGTAGGTTGACTAGTCAACAAAATGTCACAATTTCTTACAATTTTTTTTACAAAAAAGACTTAATATAATTCTTGAAGTTGTGGAAGGGTTAGGGTTATTAGACATTTAAAAGGTGTCGTGTTTATAAAGAAATTATATTTGAAAATTATCTTTGGTTTTATGTCATCTCATAATAGTTATATTTCTAGAAATGATTAGAAATTCAAATGGTTGAAAAACCAATATGATATGCATTTTAAGAGTTCAAATATCTTTATGAGAAATCAATGTATGATTTTGTTAAAGTACAATGTATATATTTGAGTCGTATTAATTCAATCAAGATTGGTAATGATCTATAAAGTTTATCTTGATAAGATGATGACTTACTCAAATCACCCAGATCACCATGACTCATGAATCATGATCTCAATAATTATAGCCATGATTTTGATGATTCAAAATATCTAAAATATATATATTTTAAATATATTTCTTAATATCTACAAGAATCATGTGTGACAAAATGAGCAGTCTAAATTCAATTAATTTGATATTATAAAAATTAAAAAGTAATGATATAATATTATGAAGACAATAGATCAAGTAACATTTTATGCTCATATTTTACTTCAAAGATTTTATGAACCCAATCTATTTTATTACTTTCTAATTGTGACATATTTTGTATGATATTAATACTTTCTATGTCAATATGCAATATGATAATTTCATACAATGAAATCAATCAAGTATGTAAATTCAGCATTATTGGCTAGAATCTGTTTTGAATTATCATATAGATATATTATAATATTATATTAATTTATATATGAATATTACCATAAAAGAATAAGGGATTTAACAATTCACGAATTTTCTAGTTCAAATTATTTTAATAACAATTATATCGTTGTTGTCTATTAAATTTTGAGTCATTGCCATATTTATGAGAGTTGATAAGAAAACATGCATATACGTAATAAAATTGACTACATCATAGTCTTATCTTTTCAGAATTTAATCATAGATTTCAATATTTAAATATAAAAAAATTGACAAATTATTTTCTCATTCCCCCCTCCCTTTGCTCTACTCTTTTCCTTTGACATTTATGCCTCCCTTCTTGAATTTCAAAGCTCTCTTTGACCTACACCACTTCTTCTCAAGACTCTACTTTTTTGTCCCCTTTTTGTTATCATAAAAAAATATAGAGAAATTTCTAAAGTTGTTAGAAGGTGATGCTTTAGCAATGTTAGTGTGAATTTCTTAGGCATAATACTAGGATAGTGGGAATTAAATGATAAAAAAATCATGAGAACTACAATCTAAATTGAGCTTCAATGGGTAAATTTTAAAATCCAAGCATATGACATTCGTCCAAGTAACTTTTTCCACTTGAGCTGAAACTGAAAGCATTATTGAAGGGATGATAACCATACTTTGTATGATTGAAGGCTCAAAATTGAAAACATATTTCTTCACGAGTTCAAGGATGAGATGATCTAAATTTATGGCTTGATCACATGTGACACAAAGTGCAGGGAAATGCCAAATAGTGGTCAAATGATTTTCTACATCTTGACATAGAAAGAGAAGTTCTGAAGATCATTGATAAATATCTTTAAAAAGTTTTCTATAAATATGATAAACTAAGATATGAAGATTTTGAGAAAATTTATTTGTGACTTCCATTGTTCTTTAAGAAACACTGGTAATTAAGGCTTAAGGTCATAGAAAGAGTCATACCTGCCCCACTTAACACTAGCCTAGGTTTGATTAAGTGAACAGACTTAAATTAAGAATAAACAAATCAAACCTCTCTCCATCAACATGAACACGTGGCCCAGGCTTAACATGTGTCTATTTTTCTTCACGGCCTTGAAATAAGCAGAGACAACAAAACCTTTGGACAAGAGAAACAGAAGGATCTCCATCAAAGAGGGCATTGCAGGAAGGCAACTTTATACAATTGGTGGGGATGATTCAGCACGCATGGCGGGAAGAGACCACTGACACAGCCAGACTCCCCAGCTGCTGCTCTCCACAGCTGAGAGCGACTCTTGTGGGAAGAAAGAAAGAAGAGAACAAAGAAGGAGAAAATACCATCTTCATCCTATGTCTCTAGCCTGCTTTGGGCCGATGACTGCAGCAAAAGTGCTGATTTTGGGCAAGTCAAAGAGGGCAGAGACTCACACGATGGGCATCGGTATATCGCTGCGACTGCTGTGCATTTGCTTCTGCACCGCCTTCACGGCGGCAACTCTGGCTGCATTGGCTGCCTTGTTGGCCGCTGCCACTGCCTTATTCACCCTCTCGTCAACTCTGGGCACATTGAATGCCCTCTCCGACGCACGCCTTGCTTCCTGAAAACACAACACGAGGAGGCCAATAGGGTCTCCCATGAATCAGACTTCACACCAGATGAGCACCGGCTGATGCGCTCTCTCTGTCATGCCCATACCTGGACCACATTGAGGACCTTAGAGTGGTTGACGGCAATGGGTAAAGCGGAAAGGCTATTCTGGGTGCTTCTGATGGCCAGGACGCCATTCTCCCAGAGGCCTGACTGCGTCTCCCCATTGCGGAATGTGTACATCCCCAGCCCCTGCCGCCTGCCCTCATGCCAGGCCCCTTCATATCGGTGCCCGTTTGCAAACCGATACACCCCAAAACCATGCATCTTGTCTGCAAAATATTCCCCAGAATAGGTATCTCCATTTCTGTGGGCATTAGAGAACTTTGTGTCAGGAAACAGGGAAGAGAACGAAATATCTCAACTGTTGTGTATCTTCAATTCCAACACGAATCAAGGTGCATACTATGAAAACAGACAAACAAAATCCATAAACATGCTGGAGAAAATTTGAAGCGTATGATCACATTTTTGTTCAAGCAAGCAACGACCATCAGAATTCTGTGCCCATCGCCACCACAGATCAGAGGAAATAAAACTATAAAAAAGACAAATTCAAAAATGAAGGTTACTACTGTATCCATCCACACCAATTCGTCCACACTTTTCTTCCTAGGAAAGGAAGCGTTGTTTCCTTAATAGCATGTAGAATATGATTTATATTTTAGTCAATTTGTCTGGTATCTTTTGGACCAGACAACTTGATCAATTCCTCTGACTGCAGGACTCCATGATTACAAAATTCCTCGCTTAGCTAATCTTACGGGCTGGAAAAAGCTAGACAACTAAAGAAGCTTTGCATAGTCCACAGGTGAAGGAAGACACTAAGTTTTTGGTCTAGCTGATTATATCAAAAGCTAAGTATGTAATTGCAATTCATGACTAATTGAGATGCATAATAATCAGACAATCAGCAACATACAAAGTAATAATTAAGGTGAAACTGAACAAATGTATACATCAATATAAATATTAAAGCATTATTGCAAGAAAAAAAAATTATCCTGCCTATAATCTCCTGAAACTTAATCATAATGCATGACATGAGATCTGCTATCATACTTTACCATCTCTAAAACTGAGCCCAGAATCTATCCTTCTACAGCATCAAGTTCCAACTCTTTCGGTGAATCAGCCTCTAGTAATATTAAGAAATACTACTTTTTTATCCTAGTATGGAGAAAGTCCAGTGGTGCATACGTTGTCCCTCTTGGAATGTAAAACAAGGGAAGGAGACAAAAGAACTGTTAAAACCTGCTGTAGACGAGGAACTGAGGAAGCTAACCTCTCTCATTGGCAGGGAATGACGCAAATGGCTTCCCCATATCCTTTCATGTTATTTACATTTACCACTTCCCTGTTCAATGTGTTGACCCTCGTGAGTGAATATTACATAAAGTAACGTTTTCTTTTAGAGTAGCAAGTTCGAAGTTGGCACATTAACAAAAACAAAGAGTATAATACACATACTCCACATTTGCGTGGACTTCAAGGTACTGACAACCTACTGACATGTATCACTGCATTCGGTATTAAACTAGGGACTATAATCTATATGGTTCACACTAATGTTACTACTGCGTCTGTGTATTCAGTATAAAATAGAGGTTTGGGCATAAAAATTCACCGTTAGCCTCGACTACAACCCGCTGACAGCAGGCTAGAATAAAAATGGGGATAAAATCAAATGAGAGCAACATGCATAATTATTGGAGCCACCAACGTTTTCTCAAGCAAGGACATAAGCCATATTCAAAGCTTATGCATAGGGTTCTCTGGTGAAAGAAACCACCAAGACTATTGCATGTTTAGCGTCTCTCTGTCAACTAAACAGTTAGAGCTGAAACATCAGCCCATTCAAGCTTTATCTAAGATCCTTAAATCTTCTACAACACTTGCTTTATACCTCTAGCTTTGCTAGACAGTTAGACGTAAGGGCAAGGCTTAGCAGGTCATGATGTAAAGGTTCAGTTGGTAACTGGGGTAGTTAACCTATATATTGGGCAAACTAGGAGAATTCTCAAAAGTGTAAATGATTTGATTACTAAGCACCATAGAGCGTTTTATTGTATGCTCTCGCTCCACGGGCTGTCTATACATTCCCTTCTACGTGCAGTAGTCATCCAACAACTCTACATATGAAAGCATACACCTTATGAAGAACCAGTAGAAAAAAGTTTTTGTTTCTAAAGATGAAATATCCATTAATAATGTGAAACGTAGTGGCAGATTTTTCTGATTTCAGTACAAGGTTTAAAAGAAATGTAGTCTGGCAAACTAGAGTATCTAGTGAGGCTATTCATCCAATGGTTGGTATTAATGGCAAAAAGGAAAAAGAATTCTGATGGAGTGGAGAAAGAAGCCTCAAACTGATGGACTACTCTCATTTTCACTAGTTTCTCAAAGACCTAAGTATAAAGCGGTGTCTGAACTCTGATGGAGTGGAATAGTTGGGGGTATTTATGTTCGGATGCTGAGACCCTAGGAGGTCTAGAAAAAGGTAAGTCTACAATAGGTATAAAATGATATTCCCATGGAGTACCAGATAAACTACAATAGGTTGGAAGCAGCAATATACAGTCTAAGAGGCCTATAGAGTGTAGTAATTCAATCTACAAACCGTCTGAGTCATCTGGAATAGTTGAATGGTCAAGAGAAAGAGTCGTCCACTACAAATCACACTCGTTTTATTTGTGATCGAGTGAGACAGTGGACAAAGATCTCTTGCAATGAGGAAAGATAACCTTTTATGATTTTGGAAGGCTTGGATAGCATATGACCCTAGGATATTACCAAGGCAACAAGGCAGTCGTTAAATGCTTTCTGCCTATCTGCTTAATGCCTTTTATAAATTTATTCAAACAACGAAATAATAAAATAAGTACAAACATTTGATAACAAGAGAATAAATCTTTACAAAACACTTCAAAATCGTTCAAGTAAATAGTGTAGTAATTTTATAAATAATACAGCCTATAAGTGGTTTATTTCATGAGTAACGAAAATTAAAACTTAAGAATAATATAAACACGCATAAGATAATAAATTTATAATGTAAAAACTACTATATAATATAGATAAATATTCGTTATTTAAATATTATTTAAATGATGAATGATTTATCACTCCCAATGCATGAGTGAGTAGCCTGGACACAATGCATCGCCCATTTATCTCACTCAATAATGCAATGAAATGTAAATTGCGTGTGTTACACCCAGGATGGTGAACAAACACACAACAAAGCATTCTGTTGTGATTGTGGGGTGAAGAGGCACTACATTCACTTGGCTCACCTAAGCATCCTAAATACCCTGGGTTAAGGCTGCCTTGACACACTAGCAGCACTATGAGAAACCACAATCTACACCACAGGGATGCAATATGGAGAATTTTGAAAAGTGTATTGAAGACATCATTTATTATGGCACAATATTCCTCTAAAAATGGTCTTCTTAAAATATCTAGAGCAGATGCGTTCAAATAAAAATGAAGATGACTCATTTAAATGGTAGTAAAATACGAAGCCTTTTTCCCTCTGACAGGAAAACCTTAAATTGTGCGAAGGGACAATGGATTCCTCATAAAGTTTTAACGTGGAGGATGTGTTAAAATGACACCTGAGATTACAAGCCTCACATGACAGAAGGAATTGGATTTCACCAACGATTCAGATCAGTCAAAAACAAGATGTGTAATTTTCTGCAGTGTTGTTCACGTTAAAGCAAAGTTGGAAGTAGGCTACCAGGAGCCGTTTCTTGTACAAAAGTAGAGGGCGTGACATGAAGATAGAGAAGTGTGAGCAGTATGAGATTAAAGGCTCCCATACCGTTTGGAGAGAAGGTGTTATCTGGGTTCTATCCATACTCTTGCTTCATCCAAACCTCTTCTCTTACCCCCGAAAAAGTTGTCTTTCCAAATCTAGAGAATACCAAGGCAAGCACTAAGCACGATAGCACTTCCCCCCAGGAAAAAACTAAAGACACAGAACATAGGACGAAACACATTTGGCATTCCTCAGCCCTATTCATGATGCAAGTACACATGCAGAACATGCGTCTATCATCTATTAACATTAAAATGGAAAACGTAAGGATCAAAAGGGAATCGGGGGCAGTCCAAGATTTCTTATTTCCCCTGAATTGAATCAGTACAAAGGCTGAATGATTACTTCTCATCGGACCACACTAGTCAAATGATATAAGAAATTTAGAGCCAGCCGAGGATCTACTTCCATGCATCTCAAACCAGATTGAAGAAAATAAATGAAAAGCAAACTTAACCAATCGAAAAGGAGAAAACTAGGACTAGACCGTGCCTGAAGAACAAGGAGTTCAGAAACGGGGACTGACGCCAAAATAGTGAACAGAAATAGACGAAGTGAAAAGTGAAGATGATTTTCTTACCGGAAATGATAGTGCCCAAGGCCATGTTTCACACCCCATTTAAACTCTCCGACGTAACGGCTACCATCCTCGCAGGTGTGAACACCACATCCATGACTCTGCCCGCTTGACCACTCTCCCGCATACAAATCTCCTGTGTAGAACCTGTAGATACCGAATCCATGCCTGAGACCCTGCCGGTACTGTCCCCGGTACCTGCTACCCCGAGCCCACGTCTCCACGCCGCAGCCGTCGTACTTCTCGTCAACCCAGTCTCCTTCGTATCTCCCGCTCATGTAGTAGTAGTATACGCCGCTCCCGGAGCACTTGCCCCGGTGAAACTCACCCTCGTAAACGTCCCCATTGCTGTAAACCTGGACCCAGGACCCCGAGGTGGGGAGTTTGTCCGCCTTCGTCTTCGGATCAGAGCCTATGGACCAGAGGACAGGTGGCGGTGACCGACGGCGGGTGTACCGAGGATGGTAGCGGGGAAGGAGGAAGGAGGAAGAGCGGGAGAGGAGAAGGCGAAGAGACGGGAGAGGGAAAAGGCTGAAGGAGAAGAACAGTATTAGGAGGAGCGCAGAGGAGAAGGAAATCGCGGATAGGAAGTCGAGGAGAAGCGAGCGGCCGCCACTGTTCCCACCCCCGCCGCTGCCGAGGAGGAGGTAGAGGGACGGGAAGGAGAGGAGGAGAAGGCGGAGGTGGAGGCGGCGGAGGAGATGGCACAAGGTGTCCTTGGTGGTTGAGGCAGCCGCATAGGGGAGGAAGCGCAGGTGACGGTACCGCCGGTGGTGCCCCACCGCCGGCAGCGTCGCCAGCATCGGAGATTTAGGGTCGGAGTTGAGAGTATCGAGGGATTGGAGAGTCTGGGAGTGGGAGAGGGTGGAATTCATGGCGGGGCGCTTGTGTGGGGTGGAGAGGAGCTGTTGGTGGGGCTGGCGAAGGGCATTGGGGTCACCCTGCTCATGGCTGGCGTTATAGTTGGAATTGGAGCTCTGAATCTGGATTTGCAGAAAATTGCCGCCATGGCCGGCTGTGGCGACGGCAGCGGCGGAGGGGTCACCAAGAGGAGTGCGCTCATGGACGCGCGGGGGCAGTTGCCGGAGGTGGAGCAGGGGGTTGAAATCGGCAGAAACCCCGACGCTGTCCTTGCCGATCTGCACTTCGGATTTCTTCTGATGCATCTAATCGCCGACGCCACCACAAAACATCGATCGACCCTCGCTGTAAACCACGTCCTCGGCGGCCTCTTTCTCTCTCTCTCTCTCTCCGTCTTCAGCCGCTGGAAGTTCTGCAGTTCCAACAACCTCTTCGGTGTGGGCTTTCCTTTCCTGATGTGAGGCCCTCGTCGCTTTCAATTTATGGGGGCGCCTTCTCTCCCGGCATGGCGGTTCTTCCTCTCGCTCCCTCTCTCTCTAGTTCTTTTGTCCCCCCCCCCCCCCCTTCTATACCTCTCTCCGCCTCTCTCTCACCCTCTCTTCCTATCTCCACCTCTCTTCCTCTCTCCCTGTTCTCTCTCTATCTCTATCTCTGTCTCTGTCTCTAGCGGGTGGGGATAGGCGTCATTCTCGATCGGGAAAACACGAAGCGCGGCGGACTCTCCAAATTGCCGCGGACTTTTTATTCCAAATATTTTTATTAAGATAACAGACCTAACAATTCTGTCATTTACTATTTACCCCAAACTTTCTTAATTTTTTTAAAAAGTATTTGAAACCAATTGGTCCTCTTCTATTCTCGCAATTCACCATTTACCCGAAATTGTCTTAAATTTTAAAAAATATTTGATGCTAATTGCTCCAAGTAATTTTATGACGTCCTTCCATTTCCGCTGTTCATTATTTACACCAAAATGAGAAAAATAAATGAATAAGAAATAATTGATACTTATCACATTCGAAAAGTACTCCCTCAGAGAGAGAGAGAGAGAGAGAGAGAGAGAGAGAGAGAGAGAGAGAGGACTATAAAAATATAGTAAAGTCTTCTGTTTTTTTTAATTTTTAATTTTACCATTTTGTAAATTTGGTTGTTCATAGGGGGCACGGGGCAAAATTCTTAACTGAAGAGTAGAGCCGGATGACTGCGTTGGAAGGAAAATAGTGGAATCCTTCCAAGGCCTAGAAGTTGCGCAATTCGGGGAGTTTGGCCTCCGGCTCGATCCCTGTGTGGGCTTGCAGCGTCCTGGTGGGGGGCTATTTGAAGTGGTCGATCGGCACTCCAGCTGCTTATGCTTTAAGGTTTTAGCCGGTCGGCGGCGATCCGGAACGAGGGGGAGAGCTCGAGAAATGGAGGCGCTGATGGCCTCATACGGATCGGACTCTGATTCCGACGACGCCTCGCCTGAACTGTCCACTGCTGTTGCCGCCAGGGCGGGAACAGAGGGACTACGTTCCCGAGATATACAGAACGCTCCGGAGATCACACCGTTACCGCCGCCTCCGGTCGACCTTCTCGACCTCCGTTCTTCTATTGGTAAGCATGTGAAACGCCGCTCCCTCCTCTGTATTGACCCCTTGATGCTGTTGCTTTCCCTTTCTCTAGGTTGGCTTCAGTTTTTGATGATCCTTATGAAACTCCACTCCCTATTTCTGTGAATTGTAATCGCGGTTGATGTAAAGTGTATATTCAAAGTCCTCCTTCTAGGTTATCGTAAAACATGTGGTTGCTGATCATTAACCGGTTTGGAGATGAGGACGAAAGTGGAAAAAACAGAATCCATGTTAACATTGTTTGTATGCCGTCACTCGTTCAGATAACAAAAAGTATCTTCATTAATGCTCCACTTTCTTCGTGCTCTAAAAATCCAGTCCTTTGGACTGCCTTCCCCAAGAGGATGAATTCCAGCCATTGAGGGAACCTCTAAAAGGAAAAAACAAAATAGAAAAAAAAATTGGGTTTCTTTATTTTTTCTTCCTCCTTGCATCTTAGTTGGCCTTCTTGTACGAAGCCATCCAATTATTTAGAAACTAACTGCCGTCTTGTCTTTAAGTTGAAAGCAGGTCTCAACTGCTCACTAAAAGGTCATAGTATCTAAAATTTAAGTTACCTAAGACAAGCTACATCTAAAAATTTGCATATTTCGAGAAACTGCACCTGAGAAAGAAAAGTGGCAACCATATATGATAAAAAGGAGATTTGGTTCTCTTCTTAAATCACTTATCTTATGGTTAACCCTTCTCTTTTGCTCTTGGCCCAATAGATTCCACCAAAATATCTTAGTATTTTGTCACTTACTTAACTATGTGAGAGATAACCGAGTTAACTATTATTGAGATTGGCTAATATTTAACTCGATTAAAGAAAGACAAACCCTCAGGCCATAATTTATCTTCTCGCAATGTTGAACACTCACATCTTCTCCATCACACCCTCCACATGATCCCTCCGTTCCCCAACACAGGCAGCAGCCTCAAACACCAAGAAAGAGCTCATCTCCTCTTTCTAATTTGGGTATATTATTGTGTTTAATTGGCAGTAAACGGAACTATCCGATAGGAATAAAATATGAATATTCGACGTAGTTAATGAAAAGGGTTGAATTCCAATTTAGCATGGTTTGTAATGGCCAATCGGTTAAGTGATAAAAGGTTGTTTGTGGGTTTTTCCTGAATCCTTATACTTGAAACAGGTTTTGGTCTGTTTTCAGGTTACTCCCCACCTCTTCAGGCAAATCGAGTGAGAAGCTTCCCACATGTCGAAGGAAATTATGCACTTCATGTCTTCATTCCAGGTCATGCTTATTTCTTACTTCCCATATTTCCTCAATTCTGTTTAATACTTTGGATGACTTATTTCCAAATGAAGTTCTCAGCGAGCTATTCATTTTCTGGTACAACTAGCCTCAGTTTTCTTCCTTTGTGATATATATTGAATGCTTTGTAATGTCGCCAGGGATCAACATGAAGTTAACATTTATTATTTCTCTAGTCATATAGCTTGTGCATTTCAAAGATTGATTCCTCAATTCTAGAAATTTGATATCCAGGGTTGGATGATTGTCTGCATAAGTCAGGAAGCTTGGTTGCCTTGTCTGCATATGTTATACAGGAAAAATGGCTGTTAATTTTTTATTCTTTCTTGAATATATATTGTTATTGAAGAGAAACGTACATTCCAGGCATGTAGGTAAGATGATTATCAAAATCTGTTCTTTAGCAATGGCTCTGATTGTGTGGTCATGAAAGCGAACTATTTTAATTTGGGCTGTGATAATTTATGGAACAACGAGTTCCAATAAGAATCAATTTAATGATAGATGCTCAGGGGAAGAGGGGATAACATACGCATTGGACCTACAGTCATGATGTGAAGCAGTTCAAAGAAAATCGTGGTGAATAATACTTTTATCCCTTGGTAAGACTACTTCAGAGCTGAAAAGAAGGACATAAAAGTTCAATGTTATAGTTTGAATTTAAAGCAGTTAAAGCAATGCAGAGTAGTTGTGGACATGCGTGGCTATCTAATTGTAAGGAGGGGTCCTCATAATTTAGGTCAGGGTGGGAAGTAACGTTTAAACCATGCTTAGCAGCATGCAAGAGGTATGTCTATGTGATTTATGATTTACGTATCTTCTATCATTGATTGCATTCTTCAAGTGTTCGTACTTTCACTTCTTCCTATGTCCTAAAATTTTGCTAATTGCTCAGTTCCTGGAATGAGATTGTTGAATGTAGATGACTTTTCTCATTTGTTTTGCAGTCATAATACCACCCACAAGAAGGAAACAAATCTCATCTTTCGTCATAAGTATTGCTTCCAAGGTTCCTAATCTTTTTGCCATTGATCTTGATGTTCCCCTTGACATTCTGTGCAAAGAAAATGAAAAGATTGAACAAACTTTGGGAATGGAATTCCACATCAGTTTGGGAAGAACTGTTCCAATTAAAGTCCATCAGATTGACTCCATTGTCACAATGCTACTTCAAAGGCTACAAGATCAAAGACAGTGAGAACCCATGCTTTGGATATTGTTGCCTTAAATATGAGCATTTGGTTTTATCTTTTTACATCAATGTGACTGGATAATCTTTCATCCTATATTTCACGCAGATACTGGATAGAGTTCAGTCGGTGGGAGGTATTTGTGAATGATGATCAGACACGAACCTTCCTCTCCCTGGAAGTTGACGGAGCGGGGTTATCTGAGGTGTGTGAAAGCTGTTTTATATGGATTTTTTTTTTAATTTGGTACCCTAAATGCCCATTACCCTTGTAAAATTCCGTAAATTTTAATTCTAATGAAACATTTACACAGAGCCGTTGTTTCTTTTAACAAAAAAGTTGCGATATGGTGGCTATTGTTAATCTACATTTTTTATTTCCTCTGGCTTTTTATTACAAGACGCAGCTTTTGGTTCTTAAAACTGCATCTGTAAAGGAGTTTTATTCTAATGACGCGGGATGCTATGTTTTTCATCCTTTTATATTTTCGCGATTAACTTCCCCAGATCAATATTTAGTTTGGGTTTTTTTCAAGTTTTTCTCTCGGATTATATTATTCCTTTGGCAGCAGGAGAAGCTGCTACTCTCCTCAAATCTTTCCTTCACTAACTTATGTATGGGCATTTGCAGATCAGTAGGCAGATTCAGATCATCAATGATGTCTATAGACTACATGGTCTACCAGAGTTTTACAAGGTTGTATTTCCCTTATCTTTCTCAAATCAGTCGTATTCCAACCCACCCCAGGGTTTCACATTTTGGTGGATAATGTTTTTCAAAGTAGGACTCCACTGAATATCCTTTTCTGCTGGGGACGACTTTTCCTATTCCGCATTCATCCATTAAATGTTTGATCGGTCGTTTACATGTATAGGATATCCGAAGTTTTTTTTTTTGATGAACAAGTGCACAGATACTGGAAAATCTCATTTTCTAGAATCATTGGGTTTAACATAATCTGTTGGAATTTCGTATAAACTGGGTTAAATCCATAAAAGCAGCAAACCTCAATCCTAATGTTGGGTTAAACATTAATTCAAGCTGCGTGAAAATATTTCATTATTTGATGAACTATCTTTTAGATATGTTGCATCTATTCTAGGCGAGAGGACCCGTTTTTTTTTTTTTTTTCCGCTAATCCCCCCCTGGTGAAAAGATCAACAAGAACATAGATGAGGGCACTTGGCATTTAACAGGGCCTTCTTGTATGAACTCTATGTTATTTGTAGAATTATTTTGAAGCATTCTTGGACTGCTGGAGCTCAATCAATGCTGAATAAGTACCTGATTTTTGTTGCCCGAGCCCATTGATTCTTTGCCCTATCTATACATGAAACTGTTGTATTGAGAACTTTAATCTACCTTTCTTTTTTCCGTGTACTCATAGCAATTATGTCTCTCTCTCTCTCTCTCACACACACACACACACACACACACACACACACACAGACACACACATACACTCTAATTAATTCATTCTGAACAGGATCCACGGCCGCATATCTCACTGGCTTGGGCACTGGGCGACATCAGTGGTGCCCTCTTGCAGGCTGCCAGGGTGCACGACAGATCGGCCCCCAATCTCGAGTCCTCGCAGAAACATGTCTTTACGTGCAAATTTAGCGGGATCAAATGCAAAATCGGTAAAAAGTCATACGACGTTTGCAGATTTCCAATTAGCCGTTGAAATATTTATCAAAGATCTCACAGGACTCGGCAGCCAAATATTATTTGCCTTGCTAGAAAAACTTGCCTGTGCAGCCATATTTTTGGGCTTGAAGGAGAGCCCAGGTTTTTCGGTCTGGCCCTGGGGAACCGGCCTCGTCTGGAGGGTTGATAATGAGAAGTCCGGGCCCATAATGGGCTCGGGGAAGCCCAGTGGACATGCTCCCTTTACGGCCCACTCAAATGCCGTGGCAGTTTTCAAAGGACGGGCCTGCTTCGGGCTTCACTCACCTAGGAATACGCCGTCCATAAATCAAGTTTCAATATAGAGTAGAGTGTCACGTAATTCGTTTTAATTCATTTTTCTGATTAATTCCGTAAGTGGGCAGTGGGCGGACCTGTAGAGAGAACTACATATCCGGCCCATTGTAGCTTCAGTGTGACTTGTGCGATTGACGGGTGCACTGTGTCGACTCATCATAACCTCTGAGGAAACCTTAATCTCGGTCTCCTATGGAGAAAGGTGCAATCACTGTGGCTTGTATGAATTCTGATGAATCTCACCTTTTTCTTCTTCAAACTGTCTGTGTATGCCGATCTAGATTCTGAATTTTTTATCACAAGAGTAATCCATGTGCCCATTAGCAAAACGCTTGAGTTATATGTACTTTTCTAAGCGTTGGTAAGGCAAAATAAATTGAAAAAATAAGATGCAGGTTTTCTCATGTATGATTGAAAAAATAAGAAGCAGGTTTTCCAAAACAGTTGAGTTGGGTTTTATTCAGTACATTGCACATGTAGATTCTGGGTTATTGATTCAAAGAGAAGTGCCTTGTTAGTGAAAAATAGAATTATTCATAATTTTTGTGCCTTCCAAGAAGAGGACTTGAATCAAAAGGATAAGGTGTAGTTTCTTCCTTTACATGCATGTTACATAAATTATAATATTCCTAGGATTTTTGTAAGCATCTTAATCTTACAGGTCATCAATGGAGATGTTCTCAAGTGTCATCTATCCTACTTTGACAGCTGTGTGGTGAATATTCCTTACCAGATTTCTTCACCTCTCACATTCAAGCTTCTTTCTCACTGTCTAGCCTTTAGATACACTGTGATCATATTCCAATGGGATTTTGGAATGAAGCTTGCTGCCTATCTATCTATACTGTTGCCAGTGACAATCTATGTTGTTGCCTGTTGGTGAACACAGAGCTTCTGACATTAACCTATCGTCTTCTCAAGGTGGGTCACAAAACTTCAGGCCCCGACCCAAAGTGGATTCCTCCATGGTCATGATAGAACTAGGGAAGCCTCTCCCTTCCCTGATGTGGACATGTTTCAATAGGAAGAACAAGACATTGGGTTCATTATTTAGATAGAAAATGTTCATTTCACATTTAGAGAAGAATTAGAAAACTTTTCCAAGCTCTGCAGGCCTCATTGAAGGGTTTATTGATGGGATAAGGAGAGTGAAGATGGTGTATCTGTCTTTGTGTGTGCAATTGTGGATCAAGGGCATGGAGTTAGATGGTGAGAAGATGATCAGGACATGGACATAGAGGATGGTGATAAAGGGGGATATAGTGATGGATCAAATTTCAAGAAAAAAGTTGCTTAATGTATTGAAGTGGGGAGATTTTGTGAACAAGAGAGCTTTGAAGCTCACACAAGTGGACATCTTGTACATTATGCCCTAATTCCACATGGTGGCATTCATTTCTCAAGGTAATCTAGTCTATGTGCGCTATGAGTTGGTTGTCACATTCTTTTGCTAACATTTTTAGTGTCAAAATTTTGGTAGCAATATATTTTTCTTTTCCTTTTTTGCATTGCCATGTAGTTTGGGGTTGCACTTATTTAGATGAAACTATTATATGGTTCTATCTTACATTGAATGAAAATTATAGCATCATCTGCTAGAAGGGGTCAAAAGAGTTTTCCTTAATGGTTTATGTATGTATGAGAATATTTAAGTATTTTTTTATGCATCAACCATTGATAAGTGTGATTAGAGGAGTGCTTAGGGAAATAATTGCTTGTTGCCAAGCCCCAAAATAATAGTTGATCTATGTGTGCGTGTGTGTGTGTGTGTAAAGTGCTGGTTTTATCTTCTTTTACTTTATGTTGATTGTTGAAGCTATATTTTATTGTGGTAAGCCACAAGCACAATCCATTCTATGATCTCACATGGGTGGAAGAAATGCAGGCCAAACTTTTTATCATTGCATCTAACCAAAGACTTTGTGCAATATGATTAGAGTTTGACATAGAGTTGATTGCCTACCACATACTCCACTTTCCATTGATGTTTATCAACTTTGGCTTTCATTTGGGCTTGAGCTTGAGGGAGGTACTATGTCAAGGTGTCTAACATCACATATCATTCTACCAATTGTTTTTCCATTGCCTATAGCTTAGTGGGTTGACGTCTAAAGTGCAAGATATGAAGTAGATCTCTCCCGTTTAGCACTTGAAAAGGCATTGTTTGGAGTGATTGGTAGGAGGCTTTATACCATAATTTGTCTCATGGTACTCATCTACTCCACTAGTTTGGCTTGCTAGAAGCAAATGAATGTTGATAAGTCTCTATAGCTTGTTTACGTTTTCTACATCCCCATAAGTTGCTAGGTAAAATGTGGTGCTTTTGAGTTTAGTGTTATACAACCTATGAACTTCTCATCATAATTTGTTGAGAATGATCTTATCATGATATAATGTGATGACCTTAGAGATTCTCTACAGCTAAATTACTTTCTTGACAAAAGTTTCCATTATATCTAGTCCCAACAAGAGGTACTCACTAGAACAAAATGAACATATTTGGTTAATTGATCTACCACTACAAATATGGCATTTTTACTATGGGAGGTAGGTAGTCCTTTTATAAAATCTATACATATTTCATCCCAAATCTTGTTTAGAATCAGTAATGGTTGCAAGAGGACTATTGCTTCTAGATAGTTGAGTTTGTGTTGTTGACAAATTGAATGATTCAAGACAAACTCTTGAATCACCTTCTTCATTCATGACCAATAGTTTTCTAATAATTCTTTTGTAAGTATAGAAGAATCTAGAGTGTTCTCCCTCTACTTTGCCATGATACTTGTTTAAAAGCTTAGGGATTATAGTGGAAGACAATGCAATGACTTCTCTCTCCTTCTAATGAAACAAGTCATGGAAGTGTAATGAGGTAAAGTTCTCAAGCCCTAGTGAATGCTCTCCATGATTTTAGTTTGGGATCAGAATTGGTCTCATTCTAAATCTACAACAAATCCAATGAAGAAGGGTGATGTCATTATCATTACTTGCAGGTATGAAGTGGGGTAGTATCTTTGATATGACATTTTTTATGATATTAGTCAATTCTTTATTGTCTTTGATTTTAAATTCATAAGTAATTAATTTAAATTTTCACTTTTGATATTGTAACAACATATATTTTGTTCTAAGAAGACCTTTAAGTTATAATGATCTATGTAAATGACAAGTCACAAATTAATTAGGTGATGTTTGTTAAAAATCATGTTGGACTTTGATCATCTCTAAATGACTCCCTTCCTTCTTGTCTGTGTCAATAGTTAACATGAGAGAGATACATGAAAAAGAAGAAGGTTGAAGCCTTAAATTTCATCACACATAATTGCTTATATACTGGCTAGTATTTATACCAACCATCTATTATGAAATGGGAGAGGGTAAACTATAGACCGATTGAATTTGAACTAGCTTAGACTATGTTTTGTTACAACGTACAATAGATAGGAAAATAAATGATGAAACAATAAATGATTTTTTTTTTCTAATGCTCCCCCTCAAGCTGATGAATGTATGTTGTCCATTCCAACTTGGACACAAAATGATAGAATATGTTGTTGTGTAGTCTTTCGTGAATATATCTATTATTTGATCAATTGTAGACACATATAGAGTACATATCTGTCCACTATCTTTTTTCTCTTTTATGAATTGGCGATTAATCTCTATGTGTTTAGTTTTGTCATACTTAATAGGGTTGTGAGCAATTGATCACCAATTTATTATCACAATAAAGCTTCATTGGACCACCTATATTGATCTTCAAATCCTTCAATATGATATTGACCCATAGAATCTCACGAATACCTTGTGTCATAGCATAAAATTCAGCTTTTGTACTTGATCTAGCTATGAGATTTTGTTTCTTGCTTCTTCAAATAATAAGATTACCTTCAAAAAAATGTAAAATATCTTAATGTTGATTGCTGATCTATAATAGATCCAGCATAATCTGCATCTATGTACACTTCAAGTGTTAGATAATTATGTTTTTTGAACATAATGTATTTTCTTTGTATTCTTTTAAAAAGTGTAGAACACAATATGCTACTTACAAATGTATTTGTTTTCAATTGTGCATGAATTGACTAATAACATTAATTGTATATGCTGTCTAGCCATGTATGTGATAGATAATAATTTACCTACCAGTAGATATACTCCTTTATTCACAACAATGTCTTCCTCCATTGCACTTAACTTGAGATTAGGATCAATTAGAGAATTAACTAGTTTGAAAGCTATTTTTCCAATATCTTGTAGTAAATTTATCACATATTTTTGTTGAGACAAAAATAAAATTCTTAAAATAGGCAACTTCAATACCTAGGAAGTATTTAATCTTCCTAAAATTTTCACCTCGAGTTCTTAATATAAATATTGACTTAATTTTTTTTTTTCTGTATCATTATCATGACTAGTTAGAAAGTCATGATAATATGGTCCACATATACTATTAGAACTGTAACTCCCCCTGAAATGGAATGTTTGATAACTAAAGTGTGATCACCTTGCCTTTGTTTGTATCCTATTTTGAGCATAATTTTCATGAATTTATCAAACCAAGTTTAAGGAGATTGTTTTAGTTCATATAGTGCTTTCTTTAGTTTGCACACAATATTAGGATCTGAATTTCTCTCATATAAAATGTGGTACTGACGTGACTTAGTCGTTGTATATTAAATCACGTAAATCTAAAATTTATAA